AGTATTCAAAAGCACAAAAGTTTCACAAACTAATCCTTCACATTACTCTAAATACAACCAACGGTAACCCAACCCATGCATTGAGCCTTGGACTTAGCTTTTAAGCAGTTGCCGTTGTAAAACGGGTACTCATTTTCATTTCAATAATTCAAACTTTATATTTTTTGGTATTTTACTGCTTCATACCAGATCTGGTGTCTATATCGTTGATCAAAATAGCAGATAATGAATACTAAATATAAAAGTAAGATTAGATCTCACCAGCCTGTTCATTGAACGTATTGCTTCTACAACACGGTGAACCAAGCTTGCATAGCAGTCCAAGCGAAGTCAATTCACCTACTGCCACAAATCATTGACGCTCAGCTGCTGCCGCAGTCATGAACTGTAGCTGTAGCAACGTCAGCACAGGCAGGCGCACCGGTGTTGAGCTCACGTTTCCTCACCAGCAATTGGCAGCATCACTCCTCCATGCAGTCAAACAAATCAAAATTTAGTGTTTCAGTTCACTTTACTTTACACAAGCCATGTTAGCAGAATCGCCTAAGAATATTAGCAGAATCACTTCAGTACCTACGTGACATTCATTGTCTCTCCTTACTGTTTGTAACAGTAAAGGACATAGGTATAACAAATTACAATGACAGAACTTGAGATTGTTAAAGATTTTAACTTAAAAGAAAATTAGTAGGAATAGTTTAAACATTGAGTTCACAATTTTATTTATTTGTAGCTTACACGTACAAATACACAAAAGCATTATAGCTTTTCAAACGGGAATTGGAACGTACTCACCGTAAGTTTCAGTCATAGTTATACGTTACCACAATTTGCCACAATACCTCGATCACAACGTACCTACTAAGTACATGAACACGAACTTACATAAAACAAATGAAAAACTGTGAATAGTCAATTTGCCGTATCATGTAAGTACTACATAGAAAGTCAGAACGCATGGAAAATAATCGTATCCCACTTCTGATATTAGGAAACTTAAAAACTGTCATAGAGTTCACCTTACTCTTTGATATTAGTAACTTATTTGTTTCATACCACATTGGATTTTAGAAACTCAGGAGGCAGGAGAAATAAAGAGTACCACCATTACAATTCATGAATTCCCCTTATATTGTTAACATCGAAATCAAATTACAAATTCAGAATTAGCTAAACCATAATTATTAATTGGAAAGAAAAACAACAACAATAACACATGAATAGGCAAATTGACTTTCAAATAGAATAAAATTCCCTCAACACCAAATACACCGTCTCAATAATTTCCGAGTTCCCGCCATCTTGACTTTTTCATTGTTCGAACCACAGATTATATTTTCCCGCTACGCGATGACATTTCGTTCCTTTTTGTCTATGCTTCTAACAAATGTATAATACATATAAATGGGAACGGGTCGCTAGTTAAAAATATAGATAATTATTAAGGAATTAAGTCTTATTCATAACTTTTGTAAGTAGAGACTTCGTTATTTGTAATATCCCATCAAAACTGCTCCACTTAGCTCGACTTACTACCTATTTCAATGTAGGTACCTACTAACTATTTCTTCAGGTTACGTATTTCAGCTCACGTAAAATATTCGGAAAATACATAATTTCTATCTATGTAGAGGTATATAAAAATAACAATTCACTGCACACATTAAAATATGATTGTCTTAAAGCCACTGAAATAGCAATCATTACTTTTTTGAAATGAAATTTATGTTGAGTACCCACAGTGGGTGGGTAATTATTATCTACATAGGAACTTATCCATGTAATCCTTTGTTCAAGTAATGTGTAAAAATAAACATTATTTTCTTTTATAAACAAAGAAATAATTTCATTTCCATTCAGAGGGCTTTGTCTAGAATGCGGATTGTAGATTATTTTTCAAACGGCTGTTGTTACTAGTTAGTAGGGCTTCAGCCGCACTTCATTCCTTCAGTCCTTCCTGCGTTCTGAGTGGTTGCGGGTCGCGCTCCGTGTGCAGTCGCGTCGCGATATTCTTGCCACCCCTACGTTGTGTAGTTCGTCTTTTAGAAACATATAAAGAGGTAATATTTTAATCTAATATTAGTTTAAGCTACATCAAACAAAAATATAAGTGTTTCTTATTGTTGCTTCATTGGAATATCAACTGTGTAATTTCCCGCCGAAAACAATTTCATGTGTAGTTTGTGGATTTATGTTTTTATTCAAAATCAAAGTCAAAGCATTTATTTCGATTAGTCCTTATTAAGCACCTTTGAAACGTCAAAAATTTAATTGTCCGTCCGTCTGTCTGTCAATGAAGCTAGGCGCTCGTTCCAAAGTGTAGTTTCGAATGAAAATAACTACTAACTAGGTACTTGAAATACTGATACAAAACAATTAAAAATCTTTAATGAAGTCTTTCAGACGAAAATAAAAAGAAATGGCTGACATTATATTTTATTACGATAAATATATTTTATACGTTTATGCCCCTAAATCCATTCAAAATTACGAGTAGGTCTCAAAAAGTTTCTACTTTTTTTTGAAGATACAAAAGTAGATACCAATAAATTTCTTTTAGGTTTTAAATAAAGTTGTCTAAGGGATGAAAATAATAACATATGTAGATACTTATAGTTCGTTTTGCGGTGGCGAGTTGTTTTATTGCGTCTGTATCACACGGTGCGAGGTGTCTGATGGCCGTGGTCCCGCCCTCGCGTTCATAATAACTACGTGATTCCAATTGCTTCATTCCTACTGTATATACTGTTAATATTAATAACATAGACACGTGAATAAGGGTTTTTACCAGTGGTTTAATTAAGACTTTGATTGCCAATAAAAAACTGTTGAAGGTAAATCCTCCGCTAACGCCGGTCGCCGGTGACCCCCATGGCGTTTAACGTGTTAAAGGCCGCATAGACCTGTAAGTAGCCTGAGTAACTATCTACATCTGTAACCATAGAGGTATCATAAGTGTGTATAGGAAACTGGTACAAGTGCAATTATTTAGGTACGCAAGCAGATAAAGGTTGGGTACCTTTATCTGCTTCACTTCAAAAGACTATCAGAGGGTAATTGATAGTAAATACTTATAGTAAAATCGATCCTATTTAAAAGAACAGAAGATCACGCAACTCTACCATACTAATTCCCACATAGTTAAAAGTTCAAAGTTTAAAACAAAGTTTTGTTTTGCGTTAAATTGCGATGATTTATTGCAACAATTAGTGGTGTCGTGACTAACTGGAGTTAACTGGCACACAGTTTGTTAACTCGTTACCTACAGGTGGACAGTTAACAATAGTTATTTGGAAAAGACTAATTAAACTTCGGCATCATTTTTATATCGACTTTTATGTAGGTTTTTTTTTGTATTTTCATTCAATAACTTGGAAATAACGTGGGATTGAATTTTTACACAATAAATCAAAACGTTTCCCACACGTTTCTAACCACGAAAGGTTACTGAACTGATGCAGTCGACAAAATTAATGGTACCTACAACCCTATCACATATATAATGTCTACAAAATACCTACATTTGTATCTTGAGTACGGTACCTACTTGTGTCACCATAAACATAAAACTAATTACTTTATTTATTGTCCATATTAATAAGTACTTTACATGAAGTACCTACCTACTAATCTTCTTTTGAGAAATATTAGATCATGGTTAAACTTTACAACTGTCACTCCTGACGTCAGTTTATAATATTGTGTATTTTTATCACTGTGACTGCCTCGTTGGCCGAGCCGTCGCAAGTGCGACTGCCAGGCAAGGGGTCTCGGATTCCCGGGTCGGGCAATTCTACTTACTATTGGGTTTTTAAAAATTCTCAGTGGTAGCACGGAGTCTGGATTTGTGCTCGATGTACGGCAATAGGCTCACCCCCTATTACATGGGACTCATAACATAAATGATGAAAAGTGGCATAAAGTGCCTTAATTTGCACCTCTGCCTACCCCTTAAGGGACAAAAGACTGTTACATGATGTTGATGTTACGTTATGCATTTTTATCAGTTTCTTAGAGATATACAACGAGCGAGTACACGACTTGCTGTCAGGGGAAGTACCGCTCCCTCCCTGCCACTCTCTACCTCGACGCAGAGGAAATGCGCGCAAAGATTTGCGTGTCCGTGAGCATCCTTCCAGAGGACCATATGTTCAAAGTAAGTAGATTATTTTTCCCTTGGCAGTTTACCTGCATTGTTAATTCTTCTAGGTTATCATCATCATCAGACGAAAGAAGTTATATAATAGGGTAGACGACTAATTTTTATTTTAATGTCCGTCTGATAGATTATTTAAAAACATTAGACACGTATTTTTTATTTTCTCACAGAAACGAATAGTTTCGAAGATATATTGATTTGAAATATCGCGTGACGTCACTTCTCAGTACATTTTATACTAAGAAATGACGTTTTAGCCCCCACTCCTAAACTTTGATTCGTTTTATCTAAGTATTGTTTTATTATACGACAAAATAAAAAAATACGTGTCTAATATTTTTTCATTACCTAACTTACGGACTAATTATATTTTTAATTTTCATACCCTGTCATCATCCCCATTGCTATATGCCACGCCACGTAGAACTACAATCACGCACATTTAATATACTCGCTACTGTTGATCCGTAGATACCAAATGGGAGCTGTTCAAGCCTGTTTGCAAATGCGCTTAGCTGAAATTTAGATAGAGACAATCAGAATTTGCCTTTCTCCATCACCATTTTCATTATATCCATTTTTTAAATAAAAACGTTGCCCAACATTAGGATTTTCTCCTGTGTCGTGGGTGCGTTTATAAACATACAAGTTCACATACACAATGACACCCAGACCTGGAACAACAATTTGTGGATCACACAAAGTGTGGGAATCGAACCCGCGACACGTTTCACGGCAGCCGGTTGCCCAGCCACCGCACCAACCGTGCAGTCATTTTATTATTAAAATCATTCATCATAATTCTCACACACTCATGTCTACCATACCATTCCACGGTTAGATCTTCGTCGCGTGTCAGTGCAAGACGTGGAAGCTCTCCTGTCGCTGGTAGCAGAAGGTACCCGCCGCCGTCGCACAGCCGCCACTCGCCGTAACTCCACCTCATCCAGATCCCATGCGCTGCTTGAAATCACCACACCACACGCCACACTGCACCTCGCTGATTTAGCTGGAAGGTACACTGAACTCACAAAGCCTCATGTATACTGTAAAAATTATACTGTATTGATAATTTTCCTTCTTTTTGATATTGATGATTATACATTCAAGAAGTGGGTGTCACATTGTGCAGTGGTATAATGTGCACCACTGCCTACCCCTTCGGGGATAAAAGCCGTAAAGTTATGTTAGTTATGTAAAATCTGATTTCAGGTTAGATCCTTAGGCTTAGATAAAATTTTTAAAGTCTAAAGATTCGAAATTACTTTTAATACCCCAAAGTGTAGGTTTTGGTAAGAAAGAGCAAAGCCCAAATTTGGTACAAGACCTACTTTACACAGTACATATTAAAATATCCCTCTTTACTATTGCTATAGCTATATGCATAGGTATTCACCCCATTACACGGTGGTACAAGACGCAAATGTCCCTAATCCACTGAGCATCGACTAGGTTAAGCTTCATCGTACCTGTATTTGTAGAAGAGTGAAGGAAGCCCCACTGTAAATACTCACACAAATTGTTATTCATAGCCAGTTATAACCATTAGATGAGTCTTGTCATTTGATCGATGTTGACTGTTAATTTACGCGACGATCTGCCTATTTAAGTAAGTTAAAATCAGGAACTTATTGAGGTAGATAAACCTCAATAATTGCGATTTAGAGCACCTAATATGAGTTTAATTAACTGAGAATATATGAGCCATTGAAAATAATAATATACAAGTATAGTCAATAAAACCTTGCACTTTTATCTATATCTGTACTTCCTAAGGGGAATTTCATGCGTTTATTAGCTGAAAACTCGTTAAGAAATTATTCTTCTATTCGTTTACGCAGATTTATGGTAAATATTACCAACTAATATTGTTGGTCAATCACGTTGCTAAATGACGGCATAATCTTACTTCGTTATGGAGAAATCCATTTATTTTACAAGGAGAAATAAAATGCTAACGACCAGAGACGGCAATAAATCAATATTTAAACCTGTATTGAACATGAACTGACTTCATGCCTGCAGGGAAAATGTAAATTAACTTTAAAAATATGAAACATCATCATAAACATGTGCCCATCGTCCCTATTGACTTATTGTAGTTCTCTTCATATACGTACTTTTAAAATTGGAACTGACAAAAATCACCTTCGAATATTCCATAAAAAGAATGACCGTAAAGTTTCAGTATAACGTGTAGTTTCTTCATGGAAGAGGTACTCAGCAAGAAGACCTAACATGATAATATTATGTTTGTGTTAATTTGGTGTGTTCTATGCAGTGAGAAAGCAAGTTGGGAAGGTTGTGGCGGCGGCCGGCAGAAAGAAGGTGCTAACATAAACAAGTCTTTGGTTGCTCTTAGTAACGTGATCTCAGCACTAGGTACGTATAGTGGAGAGTACTTGACTTGCTAGAAAGGTATACATTTTTCTCTTTGACATGATAGACTGGTATTAGTGCTATAATTGTGCACAAAGTTTTGCTGAGTCCAGTTTCCAACTTGTGTGAAATATTATTTACGGCCTGGCCACGAGAATCGGCGGTGCGAACGGCGGAGCGGTGAGGGACTCGCGCGGCGGCATTTGCAGCCCACGATTTCATAACCGATTTTAGCCAACGTCATAAAAAATAAAGTTGACTAACAATAAAATCCTAACCAACCTCCCTTTTCCTGGATGTTGGTTACCGCAGGTTACGGACTTCATACAAAAAATATTAGTTTTAAGTTTCAAAACACTGGCGCCCGTATTCATTTGTTTCACTCGTCGTCGGTACATTTCGCCGGTCAGACCACCCTGGGCGCCGCTTTTCGTGGCTTGTTCAGTACATTTCAATATGTATGTTTCAGTCGCAAGACGCCTCGCCGGTCGCACCGTATGTTTTGTGGCCAGGCTGTTCGATTACTGACTCGGAATAAAATTAATCAAACGTTGCAACTACGGGATCCCGTACCAATTCACTCCTGTGCCATTCGATGATTTTCCCTTCTTAAAAAAAGTATAGCTATATTCGTCTCTATTTTGGAACAGTGATGCTCAGCTAGATTGTATTAACGTGATTCACGATGCTCTAACACGTGAGCAGGTGTTGCTACACACAGACTGAGTAGATTATCACATCGTTCTATAAATCAGTACAGCGACAGAATTTTACAACGTATGATTTGCTAATTAGATTAAAATATTAGATGGCTGGTGAGTTGTCGTTTGCAAGTGTGTCTGCTGAGGGCTTTGGGTTGGGATATACCTACATTTCATTGCTGGAACAGGCAAAATTACTATTTATTGGTTTTTTGGTTCTCGAAATCGGTTCAGTAATGTGTAACCGTGGTTAGAATGCTTAACGTGCACCTTTTTAAACTACTTCGAGTAGGAAAAACGAATTATGTTTTAAACTCCTTAAAGTATATTTTATCTCTCTACTGGTTCATAGAGTTTACGAGCTAAAAATCTAGCTCTAGGTCACGTATATTTTGAAATAGCCGTTATGTGGTAAAAGTGCATGCAAATTGGCAAAACGTGCGTCAAATACCGGTATAATAATGACATTGCAGCATCGGGGTTTTAATCCCATACAACCCATGTAATCTCTATTGAGGAAAAAAGTCACTATTGCTTTCTATGAAAGTTTTTGCATACTACACAGTTGTTATTGGACGAAGTAAAGGGTTATGGTACAGGGGTACATAACGTATGATGGGTTTGTTTAATTGTAACTAGTATGTAGCTATGCCTATTGCCTATACACTGATAATGGTGAGATGATTACGATCGATATGGGAATTGTAGTTACACGAGTTCTGTTTACCAATGCGCTTAAGATTTCTAGACCAACAACCAATCATTAGTAGTATAGTCTTTCGTAATTAAAATAAATGTTAAATTGCCTAATTTTTTTGCCAGTAAACGGCGGTTCGACGCGAGGCAAATTCGTTCCTTACCGTGATTCGGCGCTCACGTGGCTATTGAAGGACTGTTTCACAGGCGGTGCCAGCACATTTATCATAGCTAGTAAGTACATAAACGCATACATAATACCATTACAACGACAACAACAATTCCTCCCCCACTGACCTAAACAGAAACAATTGAACGCCGAATTCGGTTTTGTTGTTTTTATGCATACTCATCGAGGATAAGTACAACAAATATTATAAAATGCGTTGTGCAACACAAGTTTTGTTTAATTAGAGTGTTAGGTAAGCTACGAGGTCGATGACTAGCTCTCAGATAGAACCTTGACACAAATCAAATGTGTATTAGTATGCGCAAAAGTTAAATCACAGTCGGTAACAGTTAAAGCAGTTTTGTGTTGAAAGCTGTTCTGACCTTGACCGATGCAATTATAATAAACCTAACACGTGTTTGTTTACATCAAAGTGTTTCTACTGGAATTGATGTAATATGATGATCGTTTTGTAATATGTTTGTTTATGCAGCTGTGTCTCCAAGTGTCGTCTGTTACGGTGAATCGGCTTCAACACTGCGCTGGGCCGCTCGAGCTCGTCAGCTACCAACACCTCGCCCTGTCAGTTGTGGATCTCACGTCGCAACCAGAGCTGCGTTACAAGCCCAGCTGAATCAACTCATCTCTGAACTCTCAAGGAATCATATTCGATATGTTTGTATACGTTTCTTAATGCTTCCGTTGTTGTAAATCAATAGCCGCGAAAGTAATAAAAATTAAAAATACATTTTTTTAGGTACCAGAAACCGGTAAAATATTGTTTGATGAAGAACATTGGGCACCACGAGTAAATCAAAATGATTCTCAACATGAAGATTTAAATAAAGTAGCAATCATAGGCAACATTATGAATATTGCGCGTCTTAAACCTGACGCGACCAATTCCGAGTCCACAGCTTCATCAGTAGCTAGCGGTAGTTCAGATGTCATTAACACCGTGGATAAAAATTCGACAATTGCAAGTGAAATTAATAAAGAGATGGATAAATTGTTCGGACCTGCACTGGAGAGAGCGAGCAGCGGAGATGACCTTAAAGTAATTGCTCCACTAAGGCACAAAAAACGACAATTTAGATCTCAAGAAGTTTTAGCAAATGAAGACATGTCGACAGTTAGTCAAAGCAGCAATTTGGTGACTACTCTACCTAGTCAAAGTGAAGCTAGTATAAACGAAGCACCGAGTTCAGATAAAACGAAAGTCCCTCATATAACTATCCTGCATGACAATCAGAGGGCAGAAATTGTAGCTTCGGTGACAGAACGACTTTACACAAAACTGAAAAAGAAGGAAGAAGCTGCTGTCTCTAAAGTAGAATCAATGGTAGATAGAAAAATAATGGAACCATTAAGTGAACTAAAGATCTGCACAAATGCACGCCAGAGACTTATGGAGTTAAGTCAGAAAGCTATTCGAAATAAAAGAAGGATAGGAATACCAGCGCATACACAGACAAGACTTACAGTGACTCGTGTGAGAGATCAAGCCGTCGACGTGCAAACAGATCTATATTCATACATTTCCAGAAATGGGCATCCTTATGCATTTTGTCGAGACGTAGCTACTGAGACGGTACCAATGACACCCCGTTGTAAAGAAATAGCCGTTGGTCCAACAGGATCGCTCCACTCTTGTGATGTGTCTACAGAAACAAAGAGAGTAACTTATAAAAACTCAAATGTTATGACTGATATAGTAAATCAAAACGAACGATGCACTCAAACAATAATTGTACCTCCGCCTAGAAGAAGGAAACGTTCATCTACATCAAAACATGTTTGTTGTAAGGAAAATCGTAATTTTTCAGAAGAATGTATTTCTGCTCCAGTAATAAGTATAAACATCTCACAAATGTACCCTGTAGACACTGAATCTCAAACTTCTGATGATAATTCTGAAAAGTTAAACGTAGCACACAGTAAATCCAGTGTTGTAACAAGTACTCCAGATCTTTTAACTAATCACAGTACAATTGACCCACAAAACGTAATTGATATAAAAGAAGATGAAATCTGTGTTTTGGTTAATGTGGCAGAAGAAAGAAAAGTTCCTGTAATTATCCAAGACGGTGATGATGATGATATTAAATCAATCGATCCAGTAAAGCACAATGAAGAGTTTCCAGATACAGAAGACTTCGCCTTGCCAAGGGTAAGTCCCAACCCTGCAAGAACAGCTAATTCTTCAGAGATTAAAAACATGATACTAGGACGAAATCAAAATATTTATCCTTACAATATAATATTATCACCGCCAAAAGAAAGGGATTCCAAACGCATAGTTACATTCAAAGATAATCATGCAGGCAAAATGAATGATACTGCTTCAGAAACTAGAAATGTGGATGAAACTAATAGTAACACAAATAAAAATGAAAGTGCTTCTGACATGACAACATCTGATAAAGAATTCCCGCTGGAAAAGGATTACGAAAGCCTGTATTCTGATTCTACAGAATCAAGCAAAGTAGATACTGACTCTTTCATCTGGAAACAAGGCAGTAGTCGAACAATGGGATGCTTAAAGAAAAATTACGTTCCAGTTTATAAAAGTTCCAAATACAAAACAACAAAAGCGCGAGTATTTAAAGATTTTTTGGGATTAGAATCTGAAGGGCATCAATTAGGGCTTAATAGTTATGAAACTCGTGAAAACATAAGAGATGTTAGCTCTAGTGATAGTAGAGATACAGATAATGGATCAGAGTATAAAAGCAGAAGACGCAAGCCATATTCTGAAAACAAATCTTATTACAATCGTGGTAGAGACTATAATGATGACGTGAGCGAATATCAGAGTATAGAAAGAAAATTAATTAATTCTTGTAATAACTTGGAAGAGTCAGTTAACAGATATGAAAATTATGTCTCTAATTATAAGGAAGGTATGAAAATAGACGGCGTTGAGAGCACTACACGTAGGCCCAAGGAGTACTTACAGCATTTGGTACAATTAAGGCGAGAGGTAGTTAAGGCAGAAAGCGACAACACTGATAGTTCATCCATGGATGTATCGAACAAATAAAATACTCGGGTTTGTGGATTTAGCCGTAAGTTTAAACTATGTTTGTACTTTAAGTTGGTGTATTTTTGTAATAAATATTTATCAATAAACTGATTTATTTAAATTACCTGTTTCTATTAACATCTAATAAAAATTCGTTTGTATAAAATAATTTAGTCATTCAAGTTCATTGCATTACTGACCCTGGTGGAAATGCCACTGACATTATGAAATAGTCAAGCCTACAGCAAAGTGCGGCTCTACTAGAGCCAGGCTGGTCATTGATTATACGCGAGCGTTAGTGAATAACGTCCACTACAAAAATATAAATAAAATTAAATACGTGCCATTAATGTGATTTAAATAATTAAAAATGTCTTTATTACTAACTCAAGTGTTAAGCCCGCAGACAATAATATTTGTTGTAGTAACAATTATTTACACAATTCTGTGGTTCCGATATAAATTCACTTATTGGTCGAAAAGGGGTGTCGTCGGTCCCAAACCGGAGTTTATTTTCGGAAATATTAAAAAAGTGATTAAAAGGGAGGAGCAGTTTTTCCAGCCGTACTATGATAACTACTTTAAATATAAACACTTGCCGTATATAGGCATGTACTCTTTCCATCAACCTGTGTTGTCTATACACGATCCAGATATAGCCAAGCTGATGTTGATAAAGGATTTTGATAGTTTCCAATCGCGTGGTACGTATGCAGGTGGGGTTGGAGACCCATTAGCGGCGAACTTGTTCAATATCTTTGGGAAAAGATGGAAAACCTTAAGGTTGAAGATGACGCCAACCTTCACGCCTGGTAAACTGAAGACAATGTACCCGATCGTTGAGGATATAGCCAAACAGGCTTTGGACTATGTAGATGTGTTACACTCTAATGAAGAGACGGTCAATTTCACTGATTTCTATTCGAAGTACGCGATGGAGATTATCGGGAACGTTGGTTTTGGTGTGGAATGCAATGGTTTTGTAAATCCTAAGTCCGAGTTTTATATAAGAGGACATGAATACTTTGATCATCAGTCGCACTACTGGTAAGTTCCTTAATATATTTTTGTATTGCCTTTACACTTGGGCTCTTGTTTCCTTTTGGGTAGACCGCAAGCTATTTCTCAATCGTGAGGGCACGATCGGTATAGTGGTTGAAGTATTAAGTAGGTACTGTAAACGAATTTAATGATAATTATTATATACATATGTATTCAATTTCTCTTTATTTATTTTTCATACCTTGTAAGAAGAATGTATTACATTCTTTGATATATTAATATAAAAAAATTGATTTAAAAATATATATTTTATCATTATTAGTATTTAATTATATTAATAAGCATTTAATTATATAATTACGAATTACTTCGTGGATCCGATTTCCACAATAATGTCATGTACGAAAAATGTGATGACTGATGATGAAGCGAAAGAGGTGTGTAAGAATCGTAGCAATTGGCGTTCCGTAATCTCTTTCCAACTTCATGGGGCATATTTTTTTGACTAGAGTGCAAGAGATTTGCTTGACTAAATGAATTAAATCAATGTTAAATTACGTTTCATATTTCCATTTGCCTATACTAGAGGTGGACATATTACGTGTAACAACTAATATAATATGCTTTTTACAAATTATATAACTATATTATGCCTACAGTAAAAATGTAACATAATATTGCCATACACATGGAAATATCAAAAATTGGCTTGCTCGACTCGTGGACTTAAGGCCATTTTGGTCAGCATTCGTTTTTATTACCACTCGACAAACGAAGGTGTCCAGTAAGAAGACGTAACACTAACAATACTGTTATTTGCAGGAGACTAATTCGCGCGTTTGCATTTTTCGCGCCAGACACGTTTGACAGTTTGAAGATCAGACGGATCAGTTCGAAAATTGAGAATTTCTTCTGTGGCATTGTCAAGAGGACAGTGGAGTACCGGCAGAAGCATTCTGTTACACGAAACGATTTCTTACAAACACTTATTGAATTAAAAAATGGCCATGTTGTTGATGAACAAGGTATGCCTGTGAGAATAGACAGTTTTTACATTAAAAGTACATTTTTTTAAGACGGCTTTAATAACAGAATCCTAACTCAGTATAAAAATCTAAGTTTTAACAGTGCTCTGTAATGAGTTGGGGTTCGACGTGAAGGACTATGGGGAGGCCTTTGTCCAGCAGTGGACGTCTTTTGGCTGTTGATGATGATGATGATCATGATGAACAGTGATCTGCACTATTCAAGGCATTCCAACTAAAAAAGGCTAACGGCTTAGCTTAGTTACTGAGCAAAGAAAGAATCCATCTGAAACGGCTCAATTGTTTTTTTCCAGGAGAAGTAAAATATTCGAAAACAGACTTCCCATTCACAATGACTGATGTAGCAGCCAATACCATGCTGTACATGATCGCTGGTTACGAGACATCAGCCACTACTGGCCAGTTTGCAGCATACCAGCTGGCTCTGAACCCTCACATTCAGGCCAGGGTGAGGAAAGAGGTGGACACGGTACTCGCCAAGTACGGAGGCGAGTGCACATACGAAGCTCAAAACGAAATGGTGTATTTGAACATGGTTTTGGATGGTATGTATCTCGAAAATAAAAATAATATAAGTGAGCAAGGAGTATTATATAAGAATGTTTTTATTACAGCAAATAAATATTTTTGCTTTGTTAGTAAAACTGTCGAGAGAGGTGTCACTGTTTCTACTACTGACAGAAAGATAGATAGATAGAAGCAAATTATAGAAAAAATTAAGTATTCATATTGAAAGGCGATGAATGATCAACAAATGTTTGTTACTAGATATAAGTAAGTATAAGTAGATATAAGTAAAAAATTGCAAGTACACTAAAATATTTATCACGTGTCGATGAACTTATAGCCAAAAACCTAAATTAATTAAATACTTATTCTCATTTCAGAAACGATGCGGATGCACCCATCAATGCGTGCCCTATTTAGGAGATGCAACAAAGACTATAAACTGCCAAACAGTGACCTGGTTATAGAAAAAGGCACGATGGTGTTTATACCGATTCATGCGATACATATGGACCCAGAAATCTTCCCCGAGCCAGAGAAATTCGATCCAGAAAGATTTTCACCAGAAAACAAAGCCAAGTTACATCCCTGCCATTGGATGCCATTTGGAGAAGGACCAAAGAAATGTTTAGGTGAGTACAACGTATACATATTTTATAAGGTTCAGCGACTAAATAAGCCTACGACCTTAGCCTAACTTGGGTAATGAGCGCTTGCATTATTTTGTATATTCTGATAGTATCAAATCAAATATAAACTGCATTTAATGAACTAAATTTAACTCAATCTAGAACAGCTATTATTTAAACTATTAAGAGGTCTAGGTTTTGTGCATAAGTGTATATTTAGTTGCGCAACAACTGAATGTATTTATATTAGTTTGCGCTAGTTACTAATCGTTTTACTAGCTGCGTAAATAAACTTATTGTATAATAGCTTTTGCTTCGCTTCGCCCTTACTTGTAGTATAAAAAGTCGCCTATGTGTTATTCCATACCAAACCATAATCTGGGGGTAGGTAGATTAGATTGTGGTCTGTCTGGTCTCCTGTCTGTCTGTCTGTCTGTAGTCTGGCTATAGCTCCAAAATATATCTCGCTCCCTTCAGCCGTTTTATCGTGTAAGACTTACAAATACGCACACACACACACACACCACACACACACACACACACACACACCTCACACACACACACACACACACACACACACACACACACACACGCACGCACATACATGTATACATACACACACTCAGCAGGAAGTAGGGACATATTTTGTCAAAAATTGTAAACCACCCTGTAAACACTATAGATGCATTATAGTGATTTGAATTTGATTAGTAGAATGACGTAAAGCTACTTGAAGAACGTTTAAATTTTTATTTCAATAAAGTCGAATATCTATTGAATAATTTTTCAAATCTTTATTAGCTGTGTTTGTTTGTACGTGATTGTCCGTCTGTCCGTGAGTGTCGGTTAACCGTGGCTCTTATGGTGTTTACTTTTAAAGCTCTAAGACATTATTGCAGATGTTATGGTCAAAACCACATACTATTGGGAAATAATTTTTTTTGGCATTGTGTGGTCAGTAAACAGAACGCTTTGAATTTGAATGATTAAAGGAAACAGCGAAATAGAATACGACTATCTTAATATATATAAATCTCGTGCAGTTCGATCCAACTTGCGAGATAGGATAGTCTATTTTTCATTAGGGTACAGTAGAATAGGGTAGAGTAGGGTAGATTAGGGTAGAGTAGGGTAGATTAGGGTAGAGTAGGGTAGATTAGGGTAGAGTAGGGTAGATTAGGGTAGAGTAGGGTAGATTAGGGTAGAGTAGGGTAGATTAGGGTAGAGTAGGGTAGATTAGGGTAGAGTAGGGTAGATTAGGGTAGAGTAGGGTAGATTAGGGTAGAGTAGGGTAGATTAGGGTAGAGTAGGGTAGAGTAGGGTAGAGTAGGGTAGAGTAGGGTAGATTAGGGTAGATTAGGGTAGAGTAGGGTAGATTAGGGTAGAGTAGGATAGAGAAGGGTAGAGAATTGTAGAGTAGGGTAGAGTGGGATAGAGTAGGTTAGAGTATTACGCGGTACGAAGTCCGCCGGGTCAGCTAGTAGTACTATATAAATATAAGATTCGTTTCTAGGAATCTTATATTTATATTTATATCTAGTGGCTCATTGATAAAATAACCTTTTTATTTGAACCATAAAGCTTAAATGACCTGCGGGGTTGTTATGACGTCCTGTCAGAATGGTTCCATTGAGGGAAAGAAACAGAGCTATACATGTCGTCTAGTGAGATCTCGTTCCCTCAACGGACCCATACGCCATCAGTGCCTTTAGCCAAACGCCACTTTAGCGCTTGTCTACAGAGAGAGTAGAAATCAAAATGTATGGGGATGACACTGACAAGTGTCAAAATTTACGTCAATTCCATATTATTTGGTTTTCTATTCTATATGTAGACAAGCGCTAAATGGTATTTTGTTACAGCTGCTGGTATGATCTACAAAATTACACCCAATACCAAATGAACCCAATACCAATACTGAAATGCTATTCAACTTTAAGTAGCGTTAAAGTATAGTTTTGTCACTACAAATTCTTTGTAAAATTACAAAGACGGCACGATATAAGTACAGCTGAACGTTTTTCAAATAAGAGACGCGACCAATACTGACGCCTTAGTACGCGTTTGACGCTCTGATTGGCCGGCTCCAATGAACCAACCAATCAGAGTGCCGAACTCGTACTCGTTTCGATTACTTTAAACATAAAAGAAACTTGTACTAAGGCCTCTGCTCTTAACCCTAGAAAGATAACCATATTTTGACTGTTACAAAAGATAACCATGCGCTTCGGAGGCGCACAAAATATTAATATATATTTTTTAATGAAATACCTATTTATTGTATTTACTTACTTATTTTTTTTGAAGTATGTTTCATGAACTAATAATAAAAAACGTTTTTAATGGAATATTTTTTATATTTTAAAAATAAAACTTAAGTCATAAAAATCTCTAGAAAAAATTAACAAAATTAGCAGTCTTCTGTTTACAGGAACAAAGTATCAAAAAATGATTTTTATTTCTTCTTATAAACGAATTAATTCATTTCTTACTAACTAATCAACTAAAAAAATCAGTCAGAACTACAATCGTTAGGCTCAAATTTGGTTTGATAGGCATTCAAAACAAACATCATTTTTGTGTTCGCCTTGCATTTTTATCTTAGACATTATTTTTTTTATTAGTGCAAAAGGTGCAATACCGCCTTTTCTTTGCTGGAGGTTCTTCTTCGATATCTGTATCGTTATGTACAACCGGTTTCGGAAGAATACTAACGATATTATCTCTCACATGCTTTGGCAAAGTAGGAGCTTCCAGTCTTTCCTACATCCACGATTCAGATAACTGGGCGCTTAAGTTTTTCATATAACCCCTTCTATTTAGAGGCTTTTCATTTTTAGCAAGAATGTTGTGACAATATATAACATAAGAATTGACGAATTCTATGTTCAGAATGCCATAAAACATACACATTGCCCATCTATTGGTTTTCCTCGAACACGACATTGAAGAACACAATTGGTCGAAATTCCAGTGAGCTCTGAAGATACAGATGGACTTATATCGTCTTCATTTTGAGTATCATTCAATTGTTGTGGCACCTCATCATCTATAAACTCGTCTTCGAAATCACTCTGTATGTCACCTTCACTCAAATTATTCTTCTGTCTCACTGTCACTTCCTTGCTCTAGTTCATGCTCCTTCTCTTCCTCTTTAGCGATAAACCTATTATATTGCATCATCAGAAAGTGTCCTCCAGCTCGTCATAATGAAAGTGAAAAGATTTTGTACTAAAAACAAAGAAATAAACAGTTTAAATTAACATTTTATGTAAGTATAAACAAATTCATACTTTTACTAAAAGTCACACAAAAGATAACCATGCGCCTTTGGAGCGCAACACTTAGTCATAACTGCAAAACTATGGTACTTACCGCGTAAAAACGGCCGTCCCGCGACTCAGTGCACCGACCACTGAGCTAACTTAAAAGGACAGGTAGATACGCGCGCACATTACAAAGAGACAGCGATTTTAAACCGACGCGGGCGCCTCTGAAGCGTAGGTTATCTTTCTAGGGTTAACCACGAGACGAGACCTCACACTCGATAGTTGCGCTTATCCTCATTAAGCTAAGATGTAGTTACTTTGACTTACCAATAATAATATTTAACTTAGACACATCAAAGTCTAGTGCTCTTAAGAGTTACTAGTTATGTATTATGTAAATTATATAAAATCAGATACTTAGTATTGTCGTTCTTGACCTGGCAAATACCTGCATAGTTTGTGTGTCATCGACACGACTCCACGCCTTTAAGTATCTTAAGTACCATATGGTCATATTGACCGCACATTTGCAATTATGATTGTTATTATTTAGTAAGTATACATTAATGTAATGTTGCATTAAATTTTTACCAAGTAAATATCTATTCTATTTGTATGCTTGTAATTCATATCAGAAACCACTGAATGGATTTAGATGAAATTGAGTTTATAAATTAACTCGTCGAGTACCGTATTTATAGACACAATTAAAGAATAATAGGTTGGGGTCACCGGTGACCGCTTGGTGTTTGACAGTTTAATTTAAGTTTTCTTTAAAACTTAGAACAGAACTTTTTATCTTTGGAACATTTGAATACAATTCGGTACTTGCCAACTACTCAAATTCAATACTTTTTACGAACTGTCAAAAACGACAGTTTTCTTTGAATTTTGTATGAGATTGTGTGACGTCACGTTTTTATAGCGACAAACAGCATAATTATTTCTTAAAAAATTGTTGGAAAATTTTTAAAATTAAGTTGGTCATATAATCAATTGATGAACGTGTGATTATTATTTAACATTTTATTGTATTTAACAGTAGAAATAATTTATTTTTGATTAAGAAAGTACCCAATTTGACTGTGAAGAGGATGAGAAATGTAGACACGTAATCTAATTTATACTTGGATTTTTTTATTTACAGGAATAAGACAAGGATACATACAGTCAAAGATGGCTTTGATAAAAGTGCTGCACAAGTACGAACTCATATTGGATAAGAGAACAGAGGTACCAATGAAGATAAAGAACTCTTCTCTTGTGTATGCAGCTCAAGGCGGAGTCTGGCTGAAGCTCAGGAGTTTGGAGTCATAAAAACGTGAAGTTGAGTGGAAAAGTATGAACATATTTTCTTCTTTTGTGGAAGTCAAGATTACAGCTTTAACAAATGAAGAGTTTCTCGAAGCAAAGGCATGTTAAGAATTTAGTTAGAATTTCGCTTGATAGAAAATCAGATCCGGTCTGATATCCGATTTGCTGTCAGCTATATTCATAGACAAGACAGAGATAGAAAGACGGACCAAAATCGTCGAAGAAAACATCTCTCCTTGAGTAAATGGGAACGAGAGCACGGAGACCAGGAGAAAAAAAAACACAAAGTAATATTAAACTTTAACCTTCGGAGTTAGCAAATAACAGAAGGTCATAATGTGCGATAAAATATGAGGTCTGAAGACTCCACGTGGTAGAAGTCACAGGTGATTATTTGTAATAACCAATATGTAAGTGTATTGGCAAATAACGATCAAGTTCTAACTAGTTTTGAGTGTAAGGTCGAGAGACGTTGCATCTAGGCCATTTGTGATGTCACACGAGGTATGAATAGAAGATTTTATCAAAGTTTTGCATTCAGAAACATTTCTCGCATATATTATGAAGATAATCTTTAAAATATTTTAGAAAGGAACGAGATAAAATACAGGACTGATTGACAAATATATGTTTAAGCAGATTTTTATTGATAATAGCTATTTACTAAGGTGTGTATTAAGGTTCTATTGATAGACACTAGGTACTTAATGACTGTGTTTTTATAATAAATATAAATAGTGTTCGTAAATTATTTTAACTTTGTTTTATTTATTAGTCAAAGTTTTAGAATAATACAAATAATAATGGGAATAGGAAATAACTTTATTCACTAGTTATCTAATACAACCCTTTGACAGTATCGAAATTTGTGCAATATTTTGAGTATAATTAATCTACGTATTACCCTTCTGGGAGGGTATGAAAATTAAAAATCTAATTAGTTCATCAGTTAGATAATGAAAAAATATTAGACACGTATTTTTTAAATTTTCTCGTATACAATGACCATACTCAGATAAAATGGCGTTAAGTTTAAGAGTGGAAGGTCGTTGTGTTACGTCGCGTCGTTACGTACGACTTAGTTCAAAATGTAGCAAATCGATCCGTCACACGATATTTCAAATTAATATATCGCATGAAATATTTAATTATGTGAGAAAAGAAAAAAGACGTGTTTAATGTATTAACCACTACCAGACGGACATTAAAATAAAATTTGGATAACTACCCTATTGCTTAATCTTGTTTTTCTTTCTCTTTGGTTTGTGTTTCTTTATCAACGTCTTTTTTATCCGTCGACGTAGACGTCTGCTGGTCAGAATCAGATTTTATTTGGACAAAATTTGTCTCTGGTATATGAACTCGAGGACCGCGTTTTTTTTCTTTACGTTTATCTGTTTGTATAGCAATCGTTTTCAAATTAGATTTCTTTTTATCCTTATCTTTAGAAGTTGCTTCCTTTGGAGAATCTTCCTGATTTGTTTTCGAAGTGGCGACGTTACCAAGTATACGTTGCATGTCTTCAGTAAGGTTCATTTCAGAAACGTATTCTACAGGCGCTTTTGAAGTAGAAGGTCTTGGATTAGTATCTTCGTCAAAAGATATTTGATCCTTCTTGGTTTTCTTAGCCATTCGAATATCTTTTAACATAAGACTGTCAAGTCGTTGCAGAGTTGTTTTAATTTCGGGCTCAGGCGTTTCAAAGATTTCTTCCTGTGCGAATTGCCTTGAAATTTCTTTTGTACGGCTTTCATTTTCAATTGCGTAGGATGAAGATGGAAATCTGAACTTTTTGCTAGAAGTACTTGCAAAAATTAATTCGGATACTAAATTATTTAACCAGTTGAAAACTGATGCTTTGTCTTCTGGGACAGTGGTCCCAGCAGACAAAGCATTGTCTTGTTGTGTCAAAGTTGAAGTGTCAACGGGTTCCGACGTCGTCGTCGTAGGCGGACGACTTAGTTGGTCATATATTATTGATGGTTCTAAATGATCCAAGTCATCACGTGTTATGAAAATGAGCTCACTATCCTTCATTGGTAGTGTGCCCGTGTTTCCCTCTTCAGCACGAAGTATTGATTTCAACGGCACCTGAGGCAACTTGATAGGAAGTTTTGTATCGCTTGGACTTTCCTCTTTATCGTTGAACCAAGTTTCAGGTGAAACAGTCCTAATTTGGACCTCGTGTTTCTCCTGAATTATAACAAAATATAACAATAGGTGAATATTATAGCAATACAATAACTCAATATTACAACTCTTCAAATATAACTATATTTGACGAGTTAATAACAAACAGATACCTATACCTCCAGATGTATAGGCTGACGTGTACAAATTCAATAGAACACCCAATTTTCTTTAATTTGGTCATGGTCATGGCCAATTCCCATGTAATACCTACAGGGTGAGCTTATGGTATATCTACACGGGAAATTAACTTCGAAATATTCTGGTCCCAACTCGCGTAATGAGGCAGACAACAAAATTAGGAATGAGATCTTTGAATCAAAAGACCACTTAAGTAGGTATTGATTGATTAATACAACACTGACCAGTATAGTATCGATGTCGCCATGCAGATGGACGCTGACACGGACTAGTTGGAAGTCCACGACCAGAAGGACGCGGACTAGAGCGAGGACTGCGGAGAGCAGCCAGCAGAAGGTGTGCAGCCACGCCGACAGTATCGTGAGCCGAGTCGCCTGGTACACGCCGCGGATACGCCGCTCATACGTCAGTGTCGCTACGTTTATTGTGTAAGAGCAACTGTGGACCAGTTGTAAGCTTGTTTGTAAATATACTTCGTGCATTCTACTGCAGCATCTTCTATTACTTCTGAATATGCCATATGAAAGTCGCCATGTATGAATTTAACATAAAATGTTTAAAAAAATAATGTTCAATCATTCTGTTTCTCTATAGTTTTATGCCTAGTGAGTCAAAAAACTGGGATACGAAGACTGACAAAATATTTGCTACTTTTTCTCAATGTCCTTCAAGTTTATACGTACGTGGGACTGCCAGTGATCTCCCCTAGCTTAAGGCAGAGTTCTTGTAACCCATAGTGTGTGACTGCGGAGGAGTAGACGCACAGGCTGCCCATCGCTAACGAGAACACAAATACAGGAGGCAGCACTCGCCACGGCCGTTGTAAACTATGCAATCATAACAAAAATGTTCAGAAAGATCAACCTGTAAGTATTATGACCATTTTTTTAAAACCATTACTAAAGAATAGTTACTCCCATTTTGGTCATCTGATTGACTTTGACTTTGACATAAATACCAACACAAACAAGCTAATATGGAGTCTAAGTACTTCACAGAACAAACCTCACCCAGTTAATGTCCTGCTGCCGGTGGAGCACATAAGGAACATAGTGGTCCACACGAGCCCGAAGATGCCAGAAACCAGTGGCACGTATGTTGGTAGAGAACAGGTGCTCTTCTCAACCCATTGGGTGCTCAGGAAGTCCACGGGTACTATGGTACATGACTAACTATTAGTTACAGCTGGATAAATAGTTTCTAATATACAAAGACGTGGCTTTATATAAATAGGAGTTGTTTAGTAGGTACCTACTGATAATATTGTAAAAACACTGGTCTAAGAATAAAATATCACATAATTGATTCTAGTCATGAACTTATTTTTTTACTACATTTCATTTTCAATAGGTCCAAGAGTTGACAAAGTACGAATACAATAATATGACAAAATTAGAATCTTACAGTCGCCAAGATCTTTGGTGGACGGTACGAACTCGTAAATGACGTTGTGCTTATGGGATGTGAGGGAGAGGAGTTTCGGGAACAGCACGCATTTCTCATCGAAAAGGTACATCAGCATGTGGAAGCAAAACGTGCAGAACGAACCGAACACGAATGCTAGGAAGAATAGAAGGAGGTGGGCTCCTGAAATAGATTTAAACATACAAATATTGATTGATAGTCAATAAAAACCCAGTGTAGGTGAAATCTCTAAATCGGATTTCTGGAAAATCACTTTTTCAACAATTTTTTGTTTCTTATTGAATGTCTTTGCACGATTCGTTTGTATGACTATCAATATCAAAGTATATTTCACATCATTGGTAGGTACGAACTGACTAAGATATACGTAGAAAGATATATGCCTAATAAAGTAGTGGACGTCTTGACTGTTATTCTTATTACTTAGTTATATTTTATTTCTGAATGCTTCTTTGTATTATATTGGTTACGCCGCTAGTATACCCAGGTTGAGTAGCACTGGTACGCACGCCGAATTTAATAACTTCCGAATGAAAATAATTATATTTCATGCACCTTTCCATGCTCCGTTAATTTCGGTCTCATTTCTTTCGATCAACCTGTACTCTTCGTATAAGGGAACTCGGTTCATTTTTCATATATTTATCAAAATATTTACGAATACTAACAAATATAACTGTAATCAAAGTGACATAAGAGGTTTTTAAGAAGAATACGGATGAGGTTTAATTTGAACATAATAAATAACACCTTTTCTGCCTGGAATATTTTCATTAATAGTTCTCATTTGGTTCCATACATAACATAACATCATGCTTTCTATCCCCGAAATTGTAGGCAGAGGTGTACATTACGGTACTTAATTCTACTGTAAAATGTAACAACCACTTTTTATTATTTTACTATTTATGTTACGAGTCCCATTTAATATGGTGAGCCTATATACCGGGCACAATTACAAAATCCGTGCTAATGCTGAGATTTTTTTTAAAAACCCAGTAATAGTTTGCCCGACCCGGGAATCCAACCCGAGACCACTTGCTCGTTAGTCGCATTTGGAACCACTCTGTCAACGAGGCAAACCAATTTGGTTCCAATAGCTAAATAAAACTGTGATTAATATATAGTTGTTTACACTCACACATTCCTCTTTGTTCCTCCACGTAATACCACCACCTTTTATATTGCTTTAAATCTACTTTTGTGTACCTACATATTTGTTGATATTTAGAATGGCGTCACAACAAAGTTGCAATTCGTTGCTTTAGTAATCTAAGTAGGTGCTAGGGAGAAAGTTATATATGGAGCCGCGGAAGACTTAACGGGTGCCGGGGCTCCGGCTCGAAGTGCAGGAGTAGGAATGGGGTGGTTTTTAGTCAGTAAGAATCTGACCCTGACCTCACCCGGGCGGGAGAAGTCATAGAATGATTTTCCCTCCTCAAAAAAAGGAGACAAGTTATGTATATAAAGGTATTGACTCGTATAATTTCAGAAGTAACGATATATTAATATATTATAATCTGATTAATCGCTGGTACACAAGACAATAGACGCTAAAATGTTTGGAAATGAATATTTTGCATCCACAATACTGGTAGCAAATGAATTTTAAATACTAAACTGCTTAATCATAGATATATTTTGAATTATTTTAGGTAAATGGTATTTGATGGTCTGCCCAACTTTCCTCTACCCAAGTCTTATTGAGGCTCTGTTGTTTACGATCACTTGATTGAAGAATCTATTATTCCATATCTTTCGAATACCCTGTACACAATGCTACCGGTACCATTATAGCTATGAATGCACAATCCATCTAGGCATCTACTCCGACGGTACACGAGAAAGGTAGATCCTATAACCTTTGTACAATTTTAATGTAGGTACAACTGTACAAGTCACATCATGTGATGTAACTTGACGATGTTTGCGTACAATCGATCCAGTCGCATAGGTTGATGATAATCATTGGGACCTAGTGATGTGCTATGGTCGATAATATCCAACTTTTATCGATAGGAAAAATTATATTTAAAGGGAGTAATCTTGTTAAAATTCATTTCTCTGTCCATACATTTCTTAGCCCTCTTATAGTGTGTAAGCCAGCGGCCAACTGCGCGGCTAACCGCCCCTCGCAGTTGGCCGCTTTTTCCATTTAGTATAGAACCGCGTCAGGCGATACGAACCGCCTGCGTGGTCAACCGTCTGTACGCAAGGTTGGTAAGATCTGTGTTGTAATGCACTAAGTTTCTAAATTAACGATAATTAACGATAGGTATTAAAAACCAGTGTGTAGTAGGATTGTGTGATTGAATAGACTGTAAGACTATTCTCTAAAGGTCTTCAAACAATAAACAATAGTCCTTTGTGATTCTATGAGATTATCATTAGTCAGGTACCTGTTGGATGGGATAGTCATCATTTACAAGCGAGAACTTCCGAATCACGCTACCACTGACAGCATAAAAACTTTAAACCCAGTATTTATTACACTAGACATCTGTGATTTGCATCCAGGAAAACGTAATAAGCGTTTGTGGTTATTAAGAATGTGTACAAGTAATTTATTGATAAAGAACACTATAAAATTTATGAACATTTAACGACCATTTTACGTTAATTATTTTTTGAGTGAAAACATTATCATGTTTCGTAACGGCGTTTGCGTAAATATTAGTGGAATTACGGAAGAACTGTCTAATGATCTTATGTACGGGGCAACTTCAGTGTTTCAATACTAAGTTGTGCTTATAGTGTTGTTATCGACTTATCGATAGTGGTTTAAGGGGACACGACATTACTATGTGGAGCGAGTGACAACGGGCGGCTAGTGATTACGCGTAACAAAATATCTTGCGGTCGGCACAAACAGTTGTTATATTTATTTGTAACATGAAGACGTATCTTTTGTTGTGTTCGGTGTTGTCTGCAGTGAACGCTATAAACATTAATTTATCGTCCAGTGAAAGTGTTGTGTGGACATTTGTGAACAGTAACAGAAGTAAGATTCATTCCAATATAATTAACTGCTTAATTAATAGCGAGATTTTAAACGTAATACTTATTTACATTTGTGTTCATACTAACAGGATAATTTTGAATGAATACTGGCGACGATAATGAAATATTTCTTTACCACTCATTTAAAATCCGACCTATAGCTTATTGCTATTAAATTCTAAATCAAATGTAGTTTAAAATTGCCGTAGGTATACACATGATAATTATTATTTACTACTTGTTTGTTTACCTACATCTCCGATACATGAAACTGATGTAAAACCTGCTTTGAGTAGGTATATAATGTTTTGAATTATATGACGATGGCGTGTAATAATCAAGAATTTAAAAATGGAATGTTGTTTCGATAAATATAACAAAATTAGATATAATTATTTTTGCTGGTACTTTACAAACAATGTTTTGTGCAGTCAACATGATCTCAGAGGTCAACGGACTTCCAAGTTTGTTTCGATGTTTCTTCTCAGAGTAAGCACGTAGCGACAGCAGAAGATAGCTATACAATTTTGACATGTAAATAATCAATTTATTTTTGCAAATTCAGTGCATAAATGCCATTTTTACGGTCAAAATTAATAATAATATAATCGATTTAATACCAAAATATTTGGATGGATCGATATAGGTTTTAATATAATTTATAGACCGCTCAGTAGGCGCAGGGTATGGACAATCGGTTGTTGTCTAACGTGACGTGGGTTTGATTCCCACTCGGAACAATTCTTTGTGTGATGCACAAATTTATGCGAAAACCTCCAGTGTGAGCGATGTATTTTCAATGTCAAAAATTAGCTAATATTGAAAATTGTTTATGATTGGTTAATAATTGCGGTCGTTAATCGTTTCTTAGGTATCTTAGCCAAGGCAGATGTGCCGGGCGGTATTTACTCGGACTTGCAAGCAAATGGCATTATTGGAAACATCCTGGTTGAAGATAATGACGTGCTCACGCGCTGGGTTGCGCACGAGTTGTGGACATATACCGCACAGTTTAATGGTACGTCCCTTTGTTTGTTTGTCGAACAGACATGATAAGGTGGAATTTGAAAACAAATATATATTACATTTTATTTGATTTTTTTACTGTATAATTAATGTTATAAATAACTCAAAGTTTGTTAAATTTAAGTTTGATATATGTTTGATACCACGAGCATGATCTAGTTCGATAATTTTTTCTTCAATTTAAAATTCCAGACATACCAATATCTTTGGTAAACCTGTAGGAATACGGTAGATAACTAATTTTTATTTTAATGTCCGTCTGTTAGATTATTTAACGTACTTTTTATTTTTTTCCGGAATCGAATAGTTTCGAAGATATATTGATTTGAAATATCGCATGACCACACTTTTTAGTACGATTCTCTAAAATGACGTAGCTACCAACTCGTAAACTTTGATTCGTTTTATCTAAGTATTGTTTTCTTATAGGACAAAATAAAAAAATACGTGTCTAATATTTTTTCATTACCCAACTGATGGACTAATTAGATTTTTAATTTTTATACCCTGTCATCATCCCTATTGTCTGGTCTCTTATAAATTGTCGAGTGTTCCGAAACAGTTGAATTATAAAGTATCTTCCTTATTGTGTAAATGAGTAATTTACTTTGTTTTCAGTATCAAAAAAAGATATCTTGAACTCCAGAGTGGTGCACTTAGTATTTGAAGGTGTGGACACAGTAGCATTCATATCCCTAAACGATGACACTCCTATTGGATCAGTCAATAATATGTTCGTGAGATACGTTTTTGATATCAAGGAGAAACTTCAGGTAAAATTATCTTAGCACTTTTATACCCTTTCTGGGTTCTGTGTAGGTTGAATTTCCATTGTATTGTACATACATCAGTTAAATACCAACTTCTAAAGTAGGTAGATATCTTCTATCTGTAAAATGTAAATGTCTATAAAATGTACTGGACTAGAATATACAGGTTAGGTGCACATTTTAATCAGGAGCTAGATGCGACTTTAGAACGTTTTAATTTTTAACTTTAGTATCACCGATCGACCGATCACATATTACCTAATCAACTACTACAACAAAAAGGATTACGTTAATTTTGTTCTGTCTGCTTACAGGAGGGTCCAAATGAATTGAAGGTGTCATTTTTGTCGCCAATAGCGGCGGCGAAAGCTCGGTCCGACAAGCACTTCGCGGCTCCTGAGTGCGTGCCCTCAGTGTACAACGGGGAGTGCCATGTTAATCAGATCAGAAAGATGCAAGCATCCTTTAGTTGGGATTGGGGACCCGCATTCCCATCTGTTGGAATTTGGTGAGCCTTTTCTTATAGACTACTATGGCCGGGTCAGCCAAGTATCAGATTTTTGTTACGAGTCACGAACTCAGAGCTATTGAGGGCTGGCAATTGCCACTTCGATTAAATGAACATACCATAGCGCTGTAATTGTCTCATAATATGGTTGTCTTTCATTGTCCTTTCTTCTTAATGCTCAGGTCTATTATAAGATCATATTGAGAAACACCCTTGTCTTTATTCTTTTTATATCATGCTGTAAATAAACAATTCGATTATCTTTATCCAAATAGAATTTATCTGTTGTCAGATAACTCCTGTTTATATATGATGAGAGTTTTGTTTATGCATTTTTATCATAAACCAATAGTTTTTTATCGTAAGTAAAAGTTGATGATTATTGTCGACATAAATATGATCAAGGATTTATATAAGGTACAGAGTTCATTCACTTGATTTCGAAAATCGCAATAATATTTCGAATAGAACATTAAATCTTTATGAATTTGCTATAAATTTGTAAATCAGACCCTAACACAAAATCACCTGCTTTTAGGAGACCAGTATACATAGAAGCTTATAATGCTGCGATTATAAGATCAGTGACAACGCACACAACGAAAAAGGAAGAAGAATGGGCCTTAGTAATAAAAGTCTATTTTGAAACAAGTATGAAGAAAACGCAAATCACTGGAATCCTCAGTGCAACACTGGAACTGGAGGGAAAACAGACGGTGAAGAAATGGATACCTGTGTATGAAACAAGCCAAACTGATGGAACCTTTGTAGTAGACCTCGACCTCAAAGTTAGCGAGGTAAGGGAGATAAGTTCGATATTTAAGAGGGTAATCTATGCCAAACACAAGATAAATTAATTTCAGACTACGTGATAGCACATGACAATTAACATTTGAATGACTCAAAATAATTTCTTGAGGTATTAGACCGAAGAATGTAACCAAGCAATTGCCGAAACGATAAGACGATTTTAATCAAAAACCTGCAGCTGTAGCCAAATGCCATTTAGCGCTTGTCTACATGTAGAATAGAAAACCAAATTACATGATTGACGTAAATTTTGACACTTGTCAGTGTCATCCCGATACATTTTGATTTCTACTGTCTCTGTAGACAAGCGCTAAAGTGGCGTTTGGCTAAAGGCCCAGCGATTTATTAAGAGATAGAACTAATGTCAAAAACTGAGATCGGTTATGAAGTTCGGGCGCAATACCGATTAATAAGATAGTCTAGATATTCTATATTTTCTGTTTTATTTTTTATAGAATCAAGTCAGGACGTGGTGGCCAAACGGTTATGGTGAGCAGCCTCTTTACGAGTTGGTCGTCCATTTTGTATCAGACACGTATTCGAACGAGTCCTCACACAAAAGTATAATGGTAGGATTCCGAACTGTGGAGCTAGTACAAAGAGACGCGGCTGAAGTATTAGGTAAGATGTTCAATCACTAAAACAAGTTTTTACATAACGTTGTTTCTGGCATTCTATTCTAGTCTGCTCTATTTGTTGTCCTTTGTTCTCTCTACCAACGGGGTTATAAACGGTATCGGTATATAACCCCGAATAAGTATATCGATACTGAACCGAGATATCTACTAAAAACGACGTAATAATTAATTTAGCTGCAAATACATAGGTATGTTTAGTTTAGAGATGCCAACACTAAAAATATTTATTTAGACACAGACTTTTGAGTTAGAATCAAATCACTTTAAGAATTTAATGTAAAAAATATTAATTCATAAAATTAATTTATTTTCAGGCAACACCACCGCAGGAACCGGTCTAACGTTTTATTTCATGATTAACGGCCACCCACTCTTCATGAAAGGATCGAACTGGATACCTTCCAATATCCTACCCGAACTGGGTGAAACTCAGACAGAAGTTGGTATGTATTCATTTTTATAAAGTATGTTTTTTTTTATTAAATTATTATGTTTTCGGCTTACCTAATCACGTGATAATTTGACGAGGAATTCGACTAGTTTCAAGCCATGCTAGAGGCATGATACTGTAGCAGCAGTGTACTGAGTAGCAGCGCGACCGCGTCGCGGGTCGCGAAATGTTGCTCATGAATATGAGCCTCTAGCATGGCTTGAAACTAGTCGAGTTCCTCGTCAAATTATTCCGTGAGTAAGCCGAAAACATAATAATTTATTTAGTATGTTTCACGAAAGTTACAATACATTTCTTTGATGTTTGGGATAATGTTCATACCATAATCTTCTGCAAAGACTGGAGAGTAAACATAGTCATTTAGGGCAGTATAATAGTTTTTAACAGTTTGTAATCATCCTATGACGCATTGCAATATTATGAAAGTCATTAAACTACTCTTCATATTCCAGTTGATAATCTTCTAAAGTCGGCTCGTGATACTCACATGGCGATGCTCCGGGTATGGGGCGGTGGAGTCTATGAGTCCGACTACTTCTATGAGAAATGTGATCAACTAGGCATTCTCATTTGGCAAGATTTTCTCTTCGCTTGCGCTATGTATCCTACAGACATTGACTTTATTAAGTAAGTTCATTCATTGTTTACTATTAAAAATTCAATTTGAACATTTTGTAGCTCTTAAAGAGCTCCCACTGGTTTTATAAAAGATATTTAATAAATACTTATTAATAACTGATTTATAATTCTAGCACAGTTCAAGAAGAAATAGAACAGAATATATTACGCCTGCAGCATCATCCCTCCATAGCTATATGGGCTGGCAACAATGAGAACGAAGCTGCACTTGTAGGAAACTGGTACGACACTACACCGAAGTTTGAGAAATACAAAAATGAGTATATTAAACTTTATGTGGAGACAATAAGGCCTATTGTCCAGGACTTGGATCCGGGACGACGCTACTTGGTTTCCAGTCCATCGAATGGTCTCGAGTCGGAGCAAGAGAACTATATATCACACAATCCCTATGACCCCCATTATGGAGACACGCATTACTACAATTATTTAGCAGATAACTGGAATATGATGACGTACCCAAAAACGAGGTTCGCTTCAGAATATGGCTTCCAATCTTTACCTTCTCTTGTGACCATGAGGACTGCGACGAATAATTCCAAAGACTTCAGTTTAGACAGCCAATATTCAATTCACCGACAACATAGCCCGAATGGATATTCTTTCATTGAATTACAGATGAATAGTCGCATGAAGTTACATAAGGATGACCCAAAATATTTCGAGAAATTCGTTTTTTATAGTCAGGTAATTTATTTATTAAACAAAAGTACAAGTTTAAGGTTTGAGTGCCTAAAAATATAATTTGGAGCCTTCAAATCTTAAACTTGAACCACTCTTTAGAAATTTAGATTAAAGAGTAGTCCCAATATTGAGCACATAATGTATTTACTTGTACTTATTTCTAGATATCCCAGGCAATGGCGATAAAGACTGAGACAGAACTGTATCGACAAGATCAAGCGAACTGGTACACAATGGGTGCTCTGTATTGGCAACTAAATGACGTGTGGCAGGCACCCTCCTGGTCGTCGATTGGTGAGCTCAAATGCACATTTTCATCGAGAGTGCTCAGTGCTACTTAAGTCACGAAACTTAATATATTTCTTTGTTTACAGAATACACTGGAAGATGGAAAATGCTCCATTATTTTGCTAAAGACTTTTTCGCGCCAGTTCTGGTGTCTCCTCGTTTAGACTCGACTGGCGAAATGGAGGTGTACTTAATTAATGACAGATTTGTGCCAGTAATGGACGCTAAAATCATGATCCAATTCTATAACTGGAGCAGCCCCGCTCCTATCCTTACCAAACAATATCCAGCGAGTTGTGAACCTTTAACTGCGACATTGCTACGAAATATAGACGGCACATTTATGGATTATAAAAGAGAAGAAATATTTGTCAAGTTTTCTTTGCTAGCGACTGGAGTTCGCTCCCCATCGAACTACGTGTTCCCAGTGCCTTTGAAACATGTGACGACCTTGAAGAAACCGAATATAGAGGTTAGTACCTAGATTTATTTGCTTAAAAAACATGATGATTGTATTCAAGTACCAACTTAGTTCTCAGATGAATACATGAGGATCAAAATATACAGGTCTATCAAGTAATTGAACTTTTAGCCTAAAGGATCAATGCGACACTTTTCTTATTTTATTTCTGTTATTTTACAGATACTTGTATCAAATTTCGTTATGAGACGACATCATCAGAATCTCGAATACACGGTACAAATACGAGTAGACACAGTGGTGGCCTTCTTGTGGCTAGAAACCGAAGTAGAGGGCCGGTTCGAGGAGAATGGTCTCATTGTGACGGAACCCCAAATTATTGTCAAGTTCCTCTGCAAAGACCACGTGTCACCGAGAATACTAGAACACTCCATCACGACGCAATATTATTTGAACTGATACGCTGGATGGCTGATTTAAAGGAACAATGCTACCATTGGTGCTTTAAATGTCCTGTCTTTGGACCCTGAAATACATTGTACATTATGACTCAATACCAAATACTTATTGTTTACTTTACAATACTTTGTTTTAATTTTAATAATAGTGTTTGTAGATTGCATGCCTACCTGTTCACAATGTCCACATAGATTTTACAGTAAGCGAAAACCCCTAAATCCCCAAGCGAAACCGGTGACCGCTCTCCACTAACTATAATTATAGACCTTATTTCCTATGTTTAGGGACTACTTTTGTATGAACAAATTTAAGGGATGACATTTCAACAGGTCTTGAAATATAAGAGTTTATTTATCACTCCATATTATTAGAAATTCAATACAGAAATACACATTTAGGTGCAAGCATATGATACTCTAACCGTCCGTCCGTATTCTAAAGTCCTTTTCTCAATATGTTACAATGGCAACTTTGTATGAGCTTGAACGATTTCAATCGTACTCGAAAGGTTTCGGTCAAACCCGTGTAATTAGCCATCACGTAAGTACTTAACAAAGGACTGGTAGAAAAATAAAACCCACACAAAAAAGCAAATTAATATATTATAATAAGTTTTTTAGTTAACAATAATGCAAATATGCGTGCGATAATTACAAACTAATGAATACCTGCAATACAATATAGTACAACGACGCATCTAAATTAATCTTTTGGACGATTTTTCACGAACTGGTAAGGGCTTGATGATTTTAAGTACCAATACTTTATAACTATTATTTTTATATTAACGATTACATAGTCAATGGTAGTTTATAGATTTATGCACGTAGTTTATATAATGGGTGGGTCTGGGCAGCTAGAACATTAAGTAACTTTAACACTGGATTTAGATAATTCTAGGAAAAGTTTCTATGGAATGTTTAGTCCATACATTTCAACGCTCAATTGCATGAGGAAAAACGCGTTTTCCTTATGCATTTCAAATACACCGTTGCACGTGGACTTAAGGTAGAAATTTGAATAATATGGACAAATCGTAAAGCTACCCTTATTGTTTTATAGTTAAGATATCCGACGTCCAGGCGTAAATAGCATTAGTTAACAATAAACAACAAAACGTGCAAATATTGAACTGAAGTGTACAAAATATACAAAAATTTGTTACTTATAAAAAGCCAGAGCGTTTACAAAGGCCCTTACCTATAAGGCCAATATTGCTTGGACCAACGGAGACTCACACAACAACATTTTAATATTTTAAAAAAGCACCATTTTTAAAATCAACCGTCTTATACGGCGGCTTGTTTCACCACTTTGTTTTTTTTTATATTTGTCTTTTATCAATTTGTTTGTTGAATACGTATAATTCTTAAATTGGATTTTATTTTTAAGCCACTGTTAAGCCTATGAATTGCCAGTGCTATGTACGCCATTATTGTCGCATGCATCAGACCTTTATTTTGTAACTATTGTGTATTTTGAATGTAATATGTTTGTGATGTGGCCGTACTCTTTCGAATAAATAAATAAATAAATACGTCGACTAAGTTAGTTTATTATCTTCTCAAAGAAGTATGTCCGTCTTCAAAAGACATAAAATTATTTAGTTTTAGTACCTATTAGTACTCAATAAACTAAACACACAATGATTAACAGTCCAAATAGATATTTTGCATTTGAAGCACATTTGTCATATTTAACAAATTTTTTTTTTAACATTTAGTTTTTTTTCTAAGTCAAGTCTCTGAAAATTATTATAATATTCCAATGTTACAGCCGAAATTAATAACCTGTCATAAAGTATGCATTATGCATATCTCTGGATCAATATGAGTTTATAACAGAAATTCTATAGAACAAATGTCGAACAACCAGATCAATCCAAAGTTTAAATGCGATGAAAATTGTCCATCAGATTATTTAATTTCGGTCATAAATAAATAAGTGTATATTGGTAACGAGACAATATCAAAGAGTGGTGAAACATGCTCTTTCGAAGCATTTATTAATCAGATTTCAAATTGCAAAACGACAATGAATTTTCTATTAAAAACTTTACAAAAAATATTTTCACAAATTTTGGCGTTTACACTGGCGTGCATTCAAAAACGGAAGACTTATTTATCTATACATAATATGCTTTTTGTAAACAATAATTATACAATATTAATGGTTTTTTAATAAACATAAAGACTAGAGAAAAAGATATCAGTCACTTTTTCATTAGATACTATTTTATTTAATGGAAGATGTGAAATAAATCACTTGAGCGATTTATTTTAATTTAGCGAAGCTATATTCTTATCTCTCCCTTCGGTATTAACCTTACGAAACACTGACTTCAAGTTCTATTTAGACCCCATATTGACGATGCGCACAAAATATAAATAATTGCTGAAAATATCGATTTATTTACTGGTTTTCATGCACCGTGCCATATGTAATGCAACGGTACGAAACATAACTGGTTGTGGCAATTAAACTTTTGTATTTATTCAGTAATTACTAATGTAATCATAAACGATTATAAAATTTATTTGATGGTCAAAACGATTCCTTTTCACTCAGACATACATTTCTCCATTAATTAAAATAGAATCTATTGGAAAACATTTTCAAGCAGAATTTGTCTATTGTACATACATACTATTCAACTTAGTAACATGCAAGGCAAAACAGCAAGGAATCAGAAAATAAATAAAATACGTTTTCACTTCCTACTAACGTCTTTTCTCAATAATACTAATATTTATAATATTTTTAAATTTGAAAAGAAATTGATTTCGTTTATTTCATATCCTATATTTATTATTGTAATAAATATCTATTTAATACTTATGTAATCCTTACTAACATTTCATAAACATACATAAATAAATAAATAATAATTTAATCTATAACAATCTCTGAATAAATACTGAAATACCTAGACTAAAAGTCCACTGCCAAAGCGGACCGTTTTGTTTGAACTGCAGTGTAAAACGATTAACTTAAGACAGGAAACTAATATGTAAAATGAAATAATTATAATTACCTATAATCACAATTTGCAGATATTAGCTATTTTTTTTACTTTTAATAAATATGAAGACGAACACAAAGCGAAAAAACAAAGCAGACATAAACCACAAATTATATAGACTAAAAGATTGATTGTAAAGGTCATATTATACCGAGAGTAACACACGTAAACTAAGAGGTTAATATCTTTCTTGTATCGAACTGATGTCGATTCCTATTACCGTTCCCGGTGTAATACGCACTTGCTTTGATATCTATAAAGAATTTGTGTTAAATCTCAAGTCAATTCAATTTATTTGATGTTACATTCGATCAGATTACTTGGTCAGATTTCCTTCATTTTAATTTCAACATCAGAATCGATACTTTTAACTTTAATACCAATTTTATGGGGGTCGGCATGTCTTACTCTGATTTAGCCGTATGTCAGTAGTATTTTATAGTCCTATATATACTAACTAGTACCTGGTTGACCGAGATTTTTTTTTACTCAACGACATTTTCTGAAAATGAAACCTAGCTTGATCGATTTATCGGCTCCGAAACGCCTTCAATACAATGTCAAGAAAATCGATGAAGCCGTTTCCTGATCGGTGATATAAATGTTACAGCCAAAGTGATTAACTTGAGAATATTCATAATGACTGGTTATTAACAAAAAATACTCGTTTAAAGGTATTAGGTATATCCCGAAGGGTGTGCGACCTGGGTGTCTTCAAGAGCCGAGTGAATAGATCGCTTATCATATTAAAATTAAAATGTTCATTAGTTGACAAAAAGATTTTTTCTAACTTGAGATAAAACACAACTTTAAGTATAAATAGACTTACATGTATAGTGGAGGTTCTTTTTTGTAGATAAAATATTAAAATACATATAATATACAATAATAACGGCCAGTTTCATAAATATCTACTTTTAACCGACTGGTATAACATATTTTATAATTTATATATAATATGTAGTGGGTATGGTCGTGAAACTGGCTTTAACGATCCTAGAAAATCACATTTATCGGCACTTTTCATGCACTAAGTGTAGAGAGTCCTGTATTAAGCATCTCTTTAGCTTATTTGACACAGATATAGCTTTGAGTGAGTAGCTACTATAAATAATTATAGTATCGTGCGATGCTTATCTATAGTTAATGATATAACAATAAATATACTATGATACACTTGCGGACAAATTAAAAGGGACATTTTTTGTATTTGTATTCTTTATTATCACTTTAGTAGAATAAAAGCACCATCGAAATGTGTTTTATACATTTTGGACAATGCCGTTTAACATGATGGAGGCATAACATAACATTAACAAACTTATAGATAGATGTCCCATTAATTTATCCAGTAGTGTATGTAATGAGTATTGAATGTAAGTAATTCTTAACATTTGGTGTTCAGCTGTTACATATTGCTTATATCAATTGACAATGAGGTGGCGACGTTACGAGTTAGTGGTGCATGCAAGCCCATCAGATATAAGCACCGAACCTGCAAAAAAACATCCGTTTATTTTAGCTGAGGTATAGTAAATAAATACAGTGTGCTATTAAAACCTTGCCCGATTTAAAAATGATTGAATTAGTTATCTAGTATAATATATCAAAATATCTTGTGAAATAATGTTTTATATTTTAAGAATTAGTATTCCAAAATAGATGACATCAATAGACTGTATTTGTCGATGTCTTTTCAGCAGCTGTAGCCAAACGCCATTTAGCGCTTGTCTACTTGTAGAATAGAAAACTAAATTATATGGGATTGACGTAAATTTTTACATTTGTCAGTGTCATCCTCATACATTTTGATTTCTACTCTCTCTGTAGACAAGCGCTAGAGGCGTTTGGCTAAAGGCACTCATCGGAAAAGGTTTTAATAACATGCTGTATATACAGAAGAGACGAAGAGAATAGTTATACCTTTGATAAAGTTATATAGAGAGAAGTAGAAAATTGTAGGTAAAAGATTCGAGTTTACATAGTACATAACATAGTATACATATTTAAATACATAAAAGTAGAATAGAAGCATATCCGACAAAAAAACGAAGGATAACAAGTATTTTTAAACAGCAATGCATACTTATATAGAGACATTTGGAAGATGGCAGTAAAATATAATTATGTATATTTGGTAGACGATAATGTATTGTAGGCGACAGACAACACTTCCGTGCATAATGCCTAATAAGATAAAACTCGTTGCATGCAAAAAATCGTGCAGACATCTTACATACTCACCACAAGACATAAAAAGCAAGCATTGATTCAGCTTTAAACTTTTAAAGTGCAGTTTCGTTTAATCAGTGTCGAATCACACTTAGATTTATAGCAAAATGTGCTTTAAATTTTAACAATTACGGTGCAAAATAAAAAGTATACTAAGCGACTTTATACACAAAATACACACCTTATCTTAAAAACATCCCAATAACGACCTAAATTAACAAAACATTAGAGAAAGATATAAGTAGTTTACTACTTCATTTAAAGGACTTTGTGGGATTTATTTAGAATTCAGATTAATTAGTACTTACAAGGGAAATTGATTTTAAACACACTATTTATAGGTAAGAAAATCGTTTAACAATACACTGTTGAAGTTACGATCTTTTGTTTTTAAATGTAAACGATTGGTTTGCATGTGTATCAAACATATTTTTCTATTGCAATGTATATTTTAGGAACTATTTCATATCACTTTGTAGTTGATGAGAATAAGTTCAACAGTGTATAAATAATGAAATAACAACCACAAGTCAGTGTGATGGTTGATTACAGTATGAAAAAGTTTCAAGGAGGTTTGCATTCAAAATTCAATAAACCAAAGAATCAGACCTCAATTCAATACATGTTGTTCAACAAGAGGTTTATAGACATATAACTATATCCATTTTAGAACAAATTTCAATAAAAAAACTGCAAAATCTATTAATTTTGATAATACACACGGCAAGACAAATTTAAATATGGTTGGAATTTTTTTGTAACGTTTATCATACATATTAAATTACTTTTCTAAACTTAAAAACTATCCCGATAATGAACGAATAAAAAAAAGTTGAACATAAACAGGATACAACCAATATTCTCATTTTGAATTTGCTCTATGTTGGATGAAACAAGATGGTCTTCTACAACCCATAGATTTACCTGACTCTCGAGTGTAGTGCTGCCCTCTCCTCGGAAGGTGTGTCCCTGAGGAATGTGGAAGACAGGTTCAGGACCACCATGAGGCAGCAGAGCAGGAGAGGGCCAAGGATTGCACCTTCAGGTCCCAGGTAGAATATGCCGCCGGCAATGGCTAGACCGGTAACGTAAGGATGTCCGCCGCTAAAAATTATAATGCAGAATTAGACTATAAAATACATCAAGGTATCTTATTAATATCTATTACTCAAACAACTATAGTGAGAATTTTAATTAGATTCCAGATTTGACAATAGCTACTGTCATTTTGTGAAATAATGGTACCACATATAATAGTGTAGTGATGGACACAAAAATCGATAAACAATCGGTGTGTGTGTTTTATAATAAATGTTACAGAAAGTAACAGGATATCGATAGCGATGACGGCGACAATTTATAAAATAACTTAATACCATGATACATCTATCTGTTTTATTTGTCATGTTCCTTCATGATTACATTTTTTTATTTATTTCACACACAATTATAAAAGAAAAGTCTCAGATCGTTAATTAATCGTCAAAACTAAATTATCGGTTCAGAAATATTTAATTTCCTGACATACTTAGTTTACGAGAGTAAAATTATAAACGAGAAGAATCGATCCAGAAATATTGCATTTCCATATCGAATAATTTCGCAACGTCACTATTTAGTACTTGTCATAACGTTGCAACACTGAAATTGTCAAATCTGGAATCGAATTAAAATTCCGAGTATAGTAACTGCCAAGTCTAGTTGATTGACAATTAGACCAACAAAATGATTTCGTAAACAAAACACTGAACAGAATGTCATAAATATACTTACTCTTTTATCTCAGCGTATACGGCAGCATCGAGGAAAGCTATGGGAGCTGCTTGCGCTATGGGTAGCAGTAACGCGGCCATAGGTCTGCCTTGTAGCCAAACGTCCAGCGCGGCCGGTATACCAGCCAGGTATGGACCCAGGAACGGAGCTGCACCTAATACGGCTGCTAACACTGCAAACAATGCTTGGATACTTAATTTATGACACAAGCGATTGGTTGCGTTTTAATTAAAAAGGTAAGCTACGAGACAATAACATAGTCCCTTTTAGTGACTTTTGAACCCATTTGTTTTTAGATTATAAAAGAAGTAGAAATGATCAAATAAACATTATACTAATGGGTCAAATCATATCGTAATCAGGTAAACGGTTAAGTTTATGCATAAAAACATTGTGAATATATCTGCAGATACTGCTCCCAGGTCAATTGAAACGATAAGTGTCGATATAACGTTTATTATTATTATTTGTAACAATTCAACAATTAAGTCTTCTTTTTCTTAATTTCATTTTGCCTCGGTGGTCGTAATTGTGCGTATACATATTTGTAAAAGTCCAAAGCTTTTTGTCTATCGTACGCCACATTATTCCTGCACTGTGCACCGACGCAGCGGTTCACGTACTCTTCTGGAGGCGACTTTGTTTCCTCCACAGGTCTTTTCCGAGATGAACTCGTACTTCGAAGCGTTTCTACAAAGTCTTTAGAAGAATCGAAGACAACTTTGATAGCTGTTCTGTTAGTCATGTTCAAGTGCGTGTCTTTGAGAAGATCGTCTTTATTCACTGCTGTCATGGCGGCACTCGCGTCACCGTTTGGCGAGTTAGCCTGACGTATCAAGTAGAACGTTGGGGCTGGCTCAGTGACGTCTTCGTCAGTTGTCACCTCATTATTATGTTTGTCACTGTACATTAAACACATCACTCGTGGGTCCAGAATCAAGTGACACATGTCATTCTCTTGTAATATTTTCACAACATCCACGGGCAGCGTGCACGGCGCGAATAGGCAAGTGTTGTTATTTGAAGTATCTAAAATTATGTTGTTCAATTCACTGATAGTGTTTAGAAATGCTATGTTTCTACATTGACAGTCAATTCTGTTGCTTGTAAAAGTGACTGCGGTTCCAGCAGTTTTGCAGCTACCAAAGTCAAATGTTGTGGAGTGTGGTTCGATGTTCGCGATTCTGTTGTGAGCGAAGTTAAATTGTTTGTTACTGCTCCTTTTCCTTAGACATTTAATGCTGCTCAGTGCGCTAGTTTTCAGTCTTGTGATGTCATTCTGAAGGATGTCTGTGTTGACAGATTTAAGTACTAGTCCATTTGCACGTATTTCTTTGAAACTATTGCCAGTGATACGTAGACTATCCGCAGTTATGTTTACCGCTCCGCTGATTATATCATTGAACGTAGTCTCTGTTACAGAAGCAGACGTGCTCTGTACAGTAATTCCTTTAAATTCCATGTTTCCGATCCTGCTATTAGTGATAGTGAACATCGAGTCAGGGCCCATAATAGCCTCTATGGCTTGATTGCGTACATCTGTTATTGTAACGTTATCAAATTCAATACTTTTTATACCAGTCACATTATGAATTGCTCTAGTGTTTATCGAGTTTATTTTGCTGTTAGTCACTCGTATTTTTTTCAATGTTGTTGTCCCGAGACATTTTAGCTCAGTTGTAGTGCTTGGAGTCTTAAATATCTTTCTTGGTAGCGATATCACTTCCTTGACATTGTCTATGATGACTTCAGGGGGGGTTTGGAGCAAAGAGGTTGCTGATAAAGATACAAACTCTAGTCTCTCGCAGTCTTTGACTTTGAACCGTTGTAGTTGAGAAGTTCTCTGTAGTAACGGACAGTCCAGGACTACTCGTAAATCTCTACAGTTTTGGACGGTGATACTTGTGATATGATCTGTGTAGTAGTCCTTCAGGTGAATTATGTAATCCTAAAACAAAATGAGGAATGAAGTCAAACACTATTTATAAATCCAAATAAAAGTTAACTCTGTGTTCTCAAATTGTCCCTACAAGAACATTTAACTTTCATAAACAAAAATTGAACACACAAAACTGACGTAAACAAAACAGTACTCACATCGTTGCCGACGCCGCAGCTGTAAACCAATTCATTGGGCAAGTTATTGAGACAGGCCCACTCAGGGTCTTGGCAGCTCGTGAAGTTGATCCTGATGCTCAAAGCCGAGTGCACCAGCACAGCAAACAACACAATGTTCCCGTGTGCCATCACTGACACATGCTTCCCAACACAGGCACTATACACGACGCGCGCGCAGTAACACGTCCACAAGTGAACATTATCCCGAGATAATTCTCCGCTAATGTGCGTTCGTTTGTCAATTTTATCGGAAAGTTTATTGACTTTGATTTTTTTATTATTATTGTTAGTATGGTTTACATTACATCCGTATTATCGTATTTATTACTCTAGTTGTAACGGATTTTGGGTATTCCAGTTGGGAATTTTAAAACGCAGTATTTTTGTTTGTCACTATTTGTTTTTTTTTTTGTTATTTTGTTGTGCTTTACTGTAGGATCGCTAGTAACATAATGTCTGCCATTTTATCTCCGCTTGTAATAATATACTAAGGTCACGTTTGTTGATACGCACTAAATTTAAATTGTGCTGTCCCTGGCCTTTACGTGATAAGGGCATGTTATAAGGATAATGTTTCAGTGGGAACTCCGCGCTATAAGGTTCATTTTTCTTTGACAATGTCCTTAACATGTGATTTTAAGATTGTGGACTTCTAGTGCAATTCAAAAATGCACCTTAAAAACTCTGTAAAGTTTAGTTTGAAGAAAGTGCTCATGAAAATATGTACTACGACATATTTATTAATGTTTTTCTTATATGAATTAAAACTGATTAAGTTTGGTGTACCAATAATCGGTAGGGACCACACAATTCGTCATGCAAATAATTTGCACAATATTTTCTGACTATATAGATAAACTTAGGTTCAAGGTAACACGAATGTCGAAATCCTAAAAACAATTTACGTTTTGGGTTAGTCCGACTAAGCACCAATATATTGTTATTTTGATAAATTACGTGACTGTTAATAAACTCAATATAAAAAGCGGTTAGCTACTTAAATGTCAGAAACGAACTTCAAATGAAGTTAAACGGTGACGTCTAGCAGGGGGGAGGGGGTCAGCTAAAGAAATTATGAATAGATTGTGTTAGACAAAATAGGAAAATATAAGAAATTAGTTTATCATAATTTATCGAAGACTATGAAGCATCAAGCTACAATGCGAGATTGATAATAATAATAATTAGAGATTTTACCTGATGGTAAATAAACGACTTTAGCGCCAAACAGATTGTGTACCAGCCAAGTCCATAGACCATAGAACAACGCCATCTTGAATGATGCTCGGAATACCTGCAAAAAATGAATGTATTGGATGAGAGAGTCATAAGATGAGAGTTAATACACGAGAAAGTTGATAGCTAGGTAGCTATTTACAAGACTTTCTAATCTTTGATAAATAATTATGATTGATAAAAACGACGCATGCCTTTTGCATTGCCAACTACAATTTGGAATTTTCAACTACTACTATTTAGTTTTTAAAAGTCAACATTTTTTGCTGTCGATGGATAGAAATATCAATTTATGAAGTATATGCCGGAATACTGAAACTTTACTCAATTTTAAGTCACTCTTAAATGTCGTGCCATCTCTGTCATTCACAAAGAATTTGTCACACAACTATACTTAAGCGCGACTTATGATTGAGTAACGTTTCAGTATTCCAGTAAAAGTCTTATTCCTAGAAGTAATAATATAGCTGGCATAATTTTAGACACCTAATGAAATACTCAATAACATTAGAGCTAACTTAATGAAAAATATTTATAACTAGCTTCTGCCCGCGACTTCGTACGCGCAATCCCGTTTTCTCCCGTTCCCGTAGTATTATTAAGAATTTTTCTGTCATAAGAATCTGCCAAATCGGTCTAGCCATTCTCAAGTTATGGCGTGACAGCAGGAAACGGGTTTCATTTTTATATATATAGATATTTACCTGGTTAATAGCCACAGAGAGCGCGATGCCGAGTCTAGGTCCAAAGTTAGGCTGAACCTGTGTGATCACCTCCACCGGCTTGTACAGCGCGTTACTGGACGCCAGCAGGTAGAACAGAGTCGTGAAGAATACAACCTGATTGACACACATTGTTATTCATTGATTAGCGATATTCAACCTTATGGTAAAATACCAAGGTTGAAAATTGTTGGCAAACTTTGTTATAAAGTGTTAAACGTTGTTTAATTATAATTGAATTTATATAATAACTATTGGGTGACATACTAAATTAACTAAAATCGTGGGTTATTCATGTCAATATACTGAGTGTAATATATACGAGTGAGCTGCGCGACGTCTCCGCGACCGCGCACGCTGCTTATAAGGAAGAACCCCTCTGTGGCTCGAAACTATTAGAGCTTTTCTCAGTATATTCACGTGAGTAACCCACAATTTTAGTTAATTGATTTTATACTTTATTGTATAGTACTAAGGTCGAAAATCATATAAGGAAAATTATCAGATTATCGTAGCTTTTAGAGCTGTAGCTGAGTATGTACCAGCTCTCTGGTGTTACTGTCTTAGTTGTTATTTTGTCGTCATACTCGTGAACACTGACCAAGGAGGCAAAAAGATAAATGTATGCTTTAGACCCTAGAAACTGGACCCGACACGACATCTTGACATTATAGCTACTAATAGACAAGACATCCACAACTCACCAAATTAATAAACATGTTAATGAGAGCGCTTCCACCGCAGAGCAGCAGCGATGTGAATGCTCCTACTGACCCGGCCAGCAGAGACACATTGCTCGCCAATGGCGCCCATATACTTGTAGCTATGGCACTTAGAGTACCCACGTTGGCTTGCACCCACGCCACTATGCCTGAGTAGTCGAACATACCTGTATGTAATAATAACAACATAACTTTACAGCTTATGATCTCCAAAGATGCGAATGTGTCTTTAAAACACTTTAAAATCTAATCCAAGATAATGAAGATTGACAGACATACTTTTGATATTACTCGATAAATTATCATATCATAACATCACGCCTTTTGTCCCCGAAGGGGTAGGCAGAGGTGCACACAGAAGTAACACCCAATTTTCACTATTTATGTTATGAGTCTCATGTAATAGGGGGTGAGCCTATTGCCATATTTCCGGATTCCGTGCTACTACTGAGATTTTTTTAAAACCCAGTAAATCTTTGCCCGACCCGGGAATCGAACCTGAAACCCCTTGCCCGGCAGTCGTACTTGTGACCACTGGGCCAACGAGGCAGTCGATAAACTAATTAGACAGAATATTTCTATAGAACTATACCATAATTTTAATTAAAGAAACTTTAATATAACATGAGTAACACTTTTGTATTGTTACTCTCGTAAGCTTGTGAGACCAATTTATTGAAGCGTTGGTTGCGTCCTATCGCGCCATGCGGCTTATGAACATGAGGATAGGGGCGAGACGCATTGCGCGGCCAAGCCAAAGCCACGCCCAACCAGTCTTTCTAACCCCAACTAACTATGAACGTAAGTAAGCCTTAAACATAAAATTAATAATAGGTATAGTATGGAGTAGTTACTTACCAGGTGCATTAGACACATCATTGACCAGGTTATCCCACGAGTCCTGTATCGCAGCGCCGTCGACCTGCGGCCCAACAGTGGACGCGAAGTGTCCCGACACCCAACTCTGGTACACTCGGTCCCACAACTCCAATATTTGTTGTTCAACACGATTTATTTTCTCTGGATCACCTTCTTTTAGGATACTTTTAACCTGTATTTGTAAAGAATAAAATATTTAATTTAATTTCTTAAGTATTTTTAAGTTTTGGTATTATCATGAGGAAGAATCCCTCTGTGGTTCGAGACTAGTAGAGCTTTTCTCAGTATATTCACGTAACCCGCGTTTTTACTTAATTTAGTATGTCTCACGATAGTTATTATAAAAACATTATGCAGAAGGTTGGTAGCAGTGTAATTAAAGTGTTTATGGTTTTAGAATTGTTATAGAGGGCGCGCCTGTCATTCTGAGCGCTGCATGTTGCAGTGTTGCTGAGTTTGTGATGGTAATCACTAAACAATTGATAGTTCCTATTATTCCGGATTTCGTAGTTCGATCCTAAGACCGCATGTTCAGCTTCACTATTTAATACTTACGCAATTGAGGCAGTAGTATAACTATTGATTTTTTCAGTTAAATTCGGGGTCGTTAAGTTCTAATAGCTTTTAACACGCACACTTCAAGGTCGGGAATTGAACTAACTACATGATTAATTGTAAACGGTAAAAGGCTAATTAGCGCATACACTTCTAGTGTTAAACTGAAAAGTAAATATTACGAAACAAATTACTCGAGGTATGTAGTGTAGGTAGATACTTGTACAAAAATAAAATGCAGTTACAGTAGGTAATTAACTTTTTTGTTTATTTATAACTATGACTTAAATAGTAAAGCTACATTTCTGATATAGTGAATGAGGGCTGTATACTTCACGTTTTTGTGCTAAAAATCGATGACAAATGAAGTACTTTCGTGGAATGAAAGTCTCTTAAAATAAATAAAATATTACAAGTCGAAATCATGCTTTTCTTTTATTCTATAAAACAATTCACACTTACTAAGTTCTGAATCTTTATTACATCCAGAAGGAAGCAGAAAAGAAAAGAACATAAAACATTACATAAAGGACTCTTATTATAATAGTAGTTACATGTGTAACCAATGAGAGCTTTCGCTTTCAGCTATGATGTAGCGTAAGTTTCTGTTTGTCCAATCAGCGTGGCCGCCAAAAATGGTATGTCCATTGTCTTCTCTTTAGCAAATATTAAATATTTAATTAGAATAGACGTTAGATTTCAGAACAATTATGTTCTATAGAGTGAGCGACCTCCCCAATATTAGTTAATCGGTTGACTCAACAATCATATTGCGTGTCAATCGGACAAGAAACGTCTCAGGCACTAAAGAGTTTCTCTTCCTAAACAAACCTTATCTAATCTAACAATGATTAGTCAAGTAATTAACTCATTCAATCACTTACCGCTGTAGAGATTCCCTCCCTCCCGTACGTGTATGCGTTATCAATAAGCGAGTCAAGTTTCTCCTCCCATCCTTCAGGTAGATAAGCATGCAATTCGCTATTCTGAACATAAGTGCTGTTCAAGAGACTACCGCTCAACTGGACCACTACTATGGCTTCGGAGTATATCTTAAAAAAAAAATAAAAAAAATAATTATAAAGGTACTGTTACACAGGCTAATTTCAAGAATGAAAGCATGCTTCAATTGAGTAGTTGTCATTTCGTAGCATGTGTGTCGGAATGTTACTGAAAATTAGCATGCTCATTTCGGGCATGCTTGCGAATCGACGAGGGCGTTCGATTTTTTAATACTTTTGAGTAGGTATGTATGCTCAATGCCTTTTAGCTTGCTATTTTAGTTTTATTCTATTTGTTGTTGATTTCAGGCATGCTTACGAATCGACGAGGGCGTTCGATTTTTGAATATTTCAGGTTCAATGCCTTTTAGCATATGTACTGTTTATTTTTATTGTAATTGTTGCTGATTTCGGGCATGCTTACGGACCAACGAGGGCGTTCGATTTTTTAATATTTTTGGTTCAATGCCTTTTAGCATACTGTTTATTTTTATTGTAATTGTTGCTGATTTTAGGCATGCTTATGAATATTTTTGATTATGTTCAATGCATACTATTTTGTTTTTATTCTAATAGTAACTTTTATAGTGTCTATCGGTGGTAAATGTTACGTGAATGCGTTTGCGTCAAATAAAATTCAACTTAGACAATTGTGTGACGTTTTTAAACTGATTGTTGTTGTGATACCGATGATTGTTAGCTTTGTTTACATGATGGTAAGAATCTGCATTGCTTATGTACATCCGACCGATTAAAAGGTATGTCATCGGCCTTTTAAAAGTGGGGTACATTGAATATGAATATTTATGGAGTGTTTGCAAAACAATTGCTTTTCTCTTTAATATATTAGAAACCGACATATTATTATTAAAATAAAGTAACTAGGTATTGGTATATATAGGTATACCCACTTGAATAAATATGAAGACGCTAGCAACCGTCAGGAATAATATAAGTCCAACAATGACGATACATGTGGACACAGTATCCACGGAGCTATACCCCATGTCTCGGATGCTAGAATTGCAAACAGACGCCATCTTGCCCAGTCCACGGACGTGTGCTGGCAGTAAAGCTGATTGCCTGGAAAAAATATCATAAAAACATGTATCTAAATTTAGGTCAATAAGTACAATATTGACTGTACCGTTCGTGCGGTAGCTGGGCAACTGGCTGCTGAGCAACGTGCCGCAGGTTCGAAATTATTGTGTCGGGTCAGTCATGTGTATGTGAAATTATATGTTTGTAAACCCACACAGGTGAAAATGGTAGTGTGGGACAACGTTCAAAAAAACGTGTGACCTTTAGACTTTGCCAATAATTTAAGGAAAAATTTACATAAAACCACGTAGTTTCAGGTCAATAAGTACCAATATCATGTGGCTTTTAGACTTGACCGATAATTTTCTTAATTAACATATCGCTTCGGCGGTTCAAGGCCAATTTGATTGAGTCTTAAATTAAATTAATAGAAGCTAGACCAATATTTGCGTGATCTAATGGTGTTTGGTCAGTGAGTATGATCTACCTATTTAAAGGTAAATTATTAGGTACTTATTTAATTTACTAAACTATTCTAATTAAAAAATAGTTATAAGTTAAGCTTTTTAACAAATAGTATTTTATTAGACTACTAAACGTGTTTACCTCAATTTCCACCAGCCCTTTATTTTCCCCATAACATTATTGTAGTGATTCTCAAAGAACAGCCATACTCCGAAATAGTCCAACAGCCTCTTCATAACATGTATAGCCAGGAAGAACAGAGTTACAGGTAACAACCAGATATGTTTCCAAACAAGCATACAGAGACATCCAAAGAACAGGAGCTTGAAATAGAGAGCCGTTTCTTCATCATTGTCAAAGTTATTCTTAATGTAATTCTCATCTAACGATCTTTGCTTGAACGCATTCAAGAATCGTGTGTCGCATTTAATTTTCGGATTCGATAACGGTAGAGCGGATAGCGTTCTAGTTTTGAATAACATTTTTGGGTGGCGTGGAGAACTTTGGATTGGCTCGTTAGACGCCCAACTTCCCCTTTTTACTAAGCCTTCAGGTGTTACTGGAGATGGAGAGTCTTTTTCTGGAGTACTCTCTTGCTCACTGGACTCCATAGCCACCTCTTCAGGTTTATCTTCCACCTTCTTCTCATTATCTTCATCATTTGAAATAGTTTTAACGAATGCTAATATGAGTGACGCTTCTGGATCTGTGTGAAATGTAAATTGACTAGGTACAGGTTCATAGGAAGTGTATAATATTAAATTGATTTTTGTGCGAGAACATACCTTTTCCCAATAATTTCTTATGTGCATCAAACACTTGTAAAGTAAAGCCAGTAATGCATATTGCTTGAAGGAACACAAAAGTGTAGACTTGCAGAGATCCTGTGAGACTTGCTATGAAGCTTGAGATGACCAGCCATAGCATGTGAGATGTAATACGGAAGATGGTGGCTCTTTGCGGTGTCCATAATATGTACACACTAATTATGTAAGCTAAGAATATTGTCAAGGTCTGAAATAAGAACATACTTACATTACAAGAAAGAACTTTAAACCAGTATGAGCTTCAAGAAATAATATAGTGCCAAAGATGTATTGAATTACAATCAAACCTCTTTGTATAATTTATAAGCAAAAATAGTAAAAGTTCTTACAATGTAAGAGCTGCAGACACTTATCAATAATGTCGTGGAAAAGCTGATGAAGCTACTGAGTTGCCAGAAGAGGCAGACTAGACTCCGAGGTACTGCATTGTATAGCCACGGCAACACAAATATTGCTGATAACAATCCTATCACAGTCTGAAATACAAAACGAAGAACATTGATTTGTGTGAAATTACAGAATTTACGGACACTAAAATGTTTACAGATGACTTCATTGATCATAAACTATATCACAATAATTATATTAAAATACTATATATATGTATATATAGGTTAAATATTTCTTCACTTCACTTCACTTGTTTCACCTATAACTTCTCTAAACATCGGAAATAATATATAATGTAATATATAATATTATATAATTGAGTAAGTGGAGAGTGGTACCCGGTGATCGCTTGGGGACAGGGCAGATAATTGGTATAAATAACGTACAAATATACAATAATTATTTGTAAATTGTATAATGATGTATAAAATAATAAATATACTACACTTAGACCAGAGACCAGGCCTGCTTCAATGAACCAACAAATCAGCGCACTGAATGTGGTAACAATTCGATTTTGCTAAATATAAAACAACCTCATAGTAAACCCTCATTACCGATGTGATATATTTGTAAGGGTACAACTATATCTTGTCACTACACATACATTTTTCTGACTTTTTTTAAAGAAGTACTGAAAAGTGGCATTCGGTTCCTAGGTGAAGTTCTACCTTTGTGGTTTAAGTATAAACATTTAAGATCTTAATCTTTATCTTGGTGTAACTTATGTAAATATGCAATATCACAATATTAAATACCTATATATTATTTAAATTAACAGTGAATATCACAATAAATTATAAATTAAATAATTAAAATATTTAAATCTACATTTCATCGGTGCGTCTGCCAAAACTGATATGTGCAAATATTTAGTTTTTTTTTCTTAGCTAGATGTCCTTCAAATCGGATAGTGCATCGATTACAAAAACAAATGTGTTATTTCCCTCTAGAAATCGATTAGACCAATCTTATATGTGCACTATTGGCCATGACAAATTGGTTATGTGTTCGATTGGTTACGGGTTATGTGACATAAAACGCACATGTCAGAAGTTGCAGCATCACATAGATAGTTTGGCAGATTGAATATCAACAGTTTTTGTTTACAATTTTTACCGTTTTCTAAGATAAATCTGATATGTGCACCAAAATGGAAAATAAAAAATTATTGGGGATGAACAGTACATGTTATCATTTTCACTTTTATCTCAGTTATTTTTATCATAATTTCTGCCATCATACTGCATTTTTAATTTATTGCTAAGTCCATCAACCTTTCAGTGCAAGTGTAAAAAATAGTTTATTGTCTTCTCCTGAAAACTTGACTAAATGCACATAACAGTTTTGGCAAGCACACCGACGAATTTTCTTCATAAGTTCTTAACTAAACACTAAATAGGTATTTAGTAGTAGATACTAATACTAAATACCTATTTAAACTGTCAAACACCAAGTGGTCACCGGCATAGTATAAAGAACACAGTAGGTTATCTAAGGCCGCCCGCCGAGTTATTAGCCTACTCTTGCGTTGATCCCCAGGGTTGTCACTTTTACTTTTAGTTAATATTTTCGAATAAGCAGCACTTGATCTAAATTTATGAAATGAAAAGCATATTATGATTGAATATTTTATCAATTTATAAATTTAGTAAAAATTAAAAGCTTATAAAAAGATTATTAACTTCTTAAAATAAACTTTAGCTCTATACATAGTATTCAGAAAGTAAATTTGGGAATACATTTATATGGAAAAATGCAACTCGGCTACGCTCTTAACAAATCAGATAAACTGTGAAATAAACAATACAATACCACATTTTCTTATAATATTTAAGTATAGTAGGTAATTACATTTCTGGTTGAGTAGGAACTATGAAGAATGATAAGAGTAAGAATAAGTAAGTAGTTATCTCATCATCAAGTACCTACAAATTATATTATGCTAGAAAACGTGACTAGCTTACCTTTCCTGTTCAATAAATAGGTACCTAATCTGAACAGAGACAGTTCTGGAATCGATTAATTATTAAGACACCCAAACACACAGCAATACGTTCTTCTACGATTATCAGACATTTTTTATTTCATTGAACAGTGCCGAAAAGCCGTGAAGCGCGCGCGAACCTCGTACAGTGTCAGCCCTGCCTGGCGCACTGAGAAACGGGTCGAGATTTTGTTAAAGTGTGCGTGCGTCGACGCATAGATACTATGGCGCACACATATAAGCCGCGCGCGGAGCATTTGTATGAAGATAACCTACTTTGTTCTTTATACTATGTCACCGGTGACCGCAACCTATTGTTCTTTAATTGTGTCTATAAATACGGTACTCGGCTAGTTAATAGGTACTAATAATAGGCACTTATTATGTTGTAAATTTGCTATATATATGGCATAATACTAAGTATATAGCATATTGATGATTAGAAAATATTGATTGAATTTGAATAGCTCCAGTTGTAGTAATAAAAGTGATGGGCTATAATAAAATACAACTGGCAACAACAAATGGTTGATGGTAGAACTTTCAATGAAAATAGATTTCGATGTTTATGTTGTGTACAGTAATAAAATCATAATATTACCTGTACATAAACATAAAGTTGACAATCTACTGTTGTTTGTAGTAGGTTTTATAATCTGTTACAAATTGAATATACTAACAAATTGAATACCTAGTTACTTTTATCATGAATTTAATAGTATTGGCAATATTACATTATAATAGATTCAAAAGGTACACAAACATGTTCATAGTTTCCTATGAGGTACATTATTTTTCACACAGGTTTTGAGAAATTCGAAAATGGGAATATCACCTTACCTTGTAATGATCTATAAACTGTTGGCCAACAGTGTCCGAAGCATAGTTAACCACATTCATTGGAATCACCATCAAACCAACTACCACAGACGTGTTCGACTTCTCCAGGTCTTCGAACCATGATTTCAGCTTCTTCGAAAGTTTATATTTAAATGGATGGAGCAAAGATCCAACTAGAAGAGCCCAAAACAAAGGTTTGAAAAAGGGCTCCAAAATTAGAAACAGCACATACACTGCCACACAACATATAGCTAATATGAATAAGGCAAAAGCGTTATAAAACCCATGTTTCATGGGTTTCTCGTTTCCTTCCGTTATTCCTCCGATAATGTTGAATATATTTTCAAAGGGCGACTGCTGCATTGCTTCTTCACTTTAAAGAAATGCACAGTAAAATATTAAAGAGGTAACATTAAAGACATTTAAAATCTAATAGACTCAAAAACCGCATTTAAATAATTATGAGATCATAGTTTTTATTTGATTTTCGGGAACATTTCAATTCACACACAGTCACGTTTCAGTATTATTTGGTCGTGTCATCAAGTGACAACAGGATAGAATATTATACTTTAGACCATGAGTGAAAGAGATAATATGGTATGAAAAAAGGGCACATTAAACATTTTACATGTCTATGATAAAAATGCGGCATTCTCAACGAAATGATCGATGAACTTTGTGTCACTGTCAGAAGTGTCAAATCAAAACGTCTAAACAGATTTCTGTTTACAAGGTAAGTTTTGAACAATTTCAAATAATTTATGCAACCTAAATTGACAATAAATATAATGAAAAGCTGAACGACTTAGAATAAACGTGACATTCGGATTAAGTTATAAATCTTAAAACATAAATATTTATAAAACAGTATTTTCTTGTAAATACAATTATTTTCAACTCATGACTCGTTAAACTCGTGCTGTGAATGTTGCTATTCCATTTGACATTTTATTAGCTTTGTTCATTTGGTCGAGAATAACAAGTGGCGCGAAAATTGTTTGCCGCCTAAAGTAAGTAAAATGTTTAGGTACTTTTATTTCAATAATCATCATGAAAGAGAATAATGTTTACCTATATAATATTTAATTTGTCTGGTTGAATCAATCTTCATTAACGACCTATCGACAGTTACCGTGGGTAACGACTAGGTAGGTACCCAGGGCCGGATTTAGGGGTCCAGAGGCCTCGGGGCAACAAAGGAGTGGAGGCCCCCTTGTCCCAAATTATTTTCCAGATTGAGATCGAGGACGCTCGAAAACGATCGAGGACTCTCGATAGATTTCGAGGACGCTCGAAAACGATCGAGAACTCTCGATAGATTTCGAGGACGCTCGAAAACAATCGAAGACGCTCGATAGATTTCGAGGACGCTCGAAAACAATCGAAGACGCTCGATAGATTTCGAGGACGCTCGAAAACGATCGAGGACTCTCGATAGATTTCGAGGACGCTCGAAAACAATCGAGGACGCTCGAAAACGATCGAGGACTCTCGATAGATTTCGAGGACGCTGGAAAACAATCGAGGATGCTCGAAAACGATCAAGAACTCTCGATAGATTTCGAGGACGCTCGAAAACAATCGAGGACGCTCGATAGATTTCGAGGACGCTCGAAAACGATCGAGGACTCTCGATAGATTTCGAGGACGCTCGAAAACAATCGAGGACGCTCGATTGATTTCGAGGACGCTCGATAGATTTCGAGGACGCCCGATAGATTTCGAGGATGCTCGAAAACGATCGAGGACGCCCTATAGATTTCGAGGACGCTCGAAAACAATCGAGGACGCTCGAAAACGATCGAGGACTCTCGATAGATTTCGAGGACGCTCGAAAACAATCGGGGATGCTCGAAAACGATCGAGGACGCCCTATAGATTTCGAGGACGCTCGAAAACAATCGAGGACGCTCGAAAACGATCGAAAACTCTCGATAGATTTCGAGGACGCTCGAAAACAATCGAGGACGCTCGATAGATTTTGAGGACGCCCGATAGATTTCGAGGACGCTCGAAAACGATCGAGGACTCTCAATAGATTTCGAGGACTCTCGTTAGATTTCGAGGACGCTCGAAAACAATCGAGGACGCTCGAAAACGATCGAGAACTCTCGATAGATTTCGAGGACGATCGAAAACAATCGAGGACGCTCGATAGATTTCGAAGACGCTCGAAAACGATCGAGGACTCTCGATAGGTTTCGAGGACGCTCGAAAACAATCGAGGACGCTCGATTGATTTCGAGGACGCTCGAAAACGATCGAGGACTCTCGATAGATTTCGAGGACGCTCGAAAACAATCGAGGACGCTCGAAAACGATCGAGAACTCTCGATAGATTTCGAGGGCGCTCGAAAACAATCGAGGACGCTCGATAGATTTCGAGGACGCTCGAAAACGATCGAGGACTCTCGATAGATTTCGAGGACGCTCGAAAACAATCGAGGACGCTCGAAAACGATCGAGAACTCTCGATAGATTTTGAGGACGCTCGAAAACGATCGAGGACGCCCGATAGATTTCGAGGACGCTCGAAAATGATCGAGGACTCTCGATAGATTTCGAGGACGCTCGAAAACAATCGAGGATGCTCGAAAACAATCGAGGACGCCCTATAGATTTCGAGGACGCTCGAAAACAATCGAGGACGCTCGAAAACGATCGAGAACTTTCGATAGATTTCGAGGACACTCGAAAACAATCGAGGACGCTCGATAGATTTCGAGGACGCCCGTTAGATTTCGAGGACGCTCGAAAACGATCGAGAACTCCCCATAGATTTCGAGGACGCTCGAAAACAATCGAGGACGCTCGATAGATTTCGAGGACGCTCGAAAACAATCGAGGACGCTCGATAGATTTCGAGGACGCCCGTTAGATTTCGAGGACGCTCGAAAACGATCGAGAACTCCCCATAGATTTCGAGGGCGCTCGAAAACAATCGAGGACGCTCGATAGATTTCGAGGACGCTCGAAAACGATCGAGGACTCTCGATAGATTTCGAGGACGCTCGAAAACAATCGAGGACGCTCGAAAACGATCGAGAACTCTCGATAGATTTCGAGGACGCTCGAAAACAATCGAGGACGCTCGAAAACGATCGAGAACTTTCGATAGATTTCGAGGACACTCGAAAACAATCGAGGACGCTCGAAAACGATCGAGAACTTTCGATAGATTTCGAGGACGCTCGAAAACGATCGAGGACTCTCGATAGATTTCGAGGACGCTTGAAAACAATCGAGGATGCTCGAAAACGTTAGAGGACGCCCTATAGATTTCGAGGACGCTCGAAAACAATCGAGGACGCTCGAAAACGATCGAGAACTCTCGATAGATTTCGAGGACGCTCGAAAACGATCGAGGACTCTCGATAGATTTCGAGGACGCTCGAAAACAATCGAGGATGCTCGATAGATTTCGAGGACGCTCGACAGATTTCGAGTTTAAGAATTGAAGAATACCAATTGTTCACATACTGCAATTAATTTTTTTAATGGTCGAGACACGGAATCGAATAGCCAACCTCCGAGGTTGCGGGCAAGTACCATCCTAATGAGCCATTGAGCCATTGGGGTACTCCCTCAAGATGGGTAGTAAATTGAAAGTGCTTATCAGAGCCATTTGAGATTTTGATATTTCACTGATTGCCTGATTGGAGTGAACAAATATAGATCAATGATTTCTGTTTCTGTTAATATTTAAAATTAATATAATCAAATAATCATGTATGTATAAAGTACTTTAGGCTGTAGGTAAAGGTAAAAGCGAAAAAAAAAATATCAAAGAAAAGATGTTTACTAGGTTTACTAGTTGAAATTTGAAAGATTTTTTTTTCCGAAGTCTCTATTGTGGAGGCTCCCTGCTTGTGGAGGCCCCGGGGCTTTCGCCCCGGTTGCCCCCCCTACATCCGGCCCTGTAGGTGCCATTGCGTCAATATTAGCACTCTTTGTTGAATAGGTACCTAATATAAATATTGTATAGTTATTAGATATTACAGAAAAGTATCATTACTATGCAGTAACGATACGTTTCACACGTTCATGGAACTGGCCAATCAGAGAGTTAAACGCGGTTATGTTTTGATCTCATTAAGCGTAAAACAAAGTTGTACTTGGCCCCAACTTGTTGGTTCTATCTAAATTAGTTTCTGCATGGAATTACGTAGGTAATTTATTTTACATAGGTTCTAGTACAATCACACATAATTAGTAGATTCATAAATAGTCGTACCTACTCGAAACTTAGACGACCTATCATTTTGAAGAGTTTAGCACCATTGCTTATTTGGTACCGCATTATCTTAGCTGCATGCCAGCAGAACGTGGAGATACATTTTTATATTCATCTGATTTCAAAAACTAAAAAGTTCTGTTCAGACATGTCAAATGTCTTACTAATATAAATTATTATAGGTAGTGTACCTAGATAGTACCTGTATTTCATTTTTGTCTACATTATGTATAGTAAAGTAGGCGGGTACTATGTATAGTAAGTTGGTTCAAGGTACATTATAAAATGCTTTACCTAATTCGTTTATCGAATAGAATAGAATTAACGAGTCTAACATTAGGTAGAAAGTGAGTTCTGACATGAATGTATTACATCGTGATAAATGTTTTTTTTTGGTGATTCAATTACATCATACATCAATATCGGGAATGAAACATTTCTGATTCATTCTAGAAAACGTACGTTCAAACTATCGGATTCTTTGAAGCTAATCTGTGATGAAAACCATTATTTTTACCCTGTTGAGTATATTAACTAGCACAAGTGCATTGATAAAAATTAATCAATATGAAGATAAACTAACCAGATGTATCCTAAAAATGGTAGCCGACATTGATTACAAGAATTACAGCAGATTTATGGACATTACTTTAATGAATGTGAACAATGATCTACAATTGTCAGCTATTCACCAAGTTAAAGGAGCGCGATTTGTTTCAAGAAGATTCTTTTGGGACACTGAAAACATTAGCAACGTTATTTATCTCGTGATGAGTGAAGATTACAAAGAATTAGCTGATGGATTGAGTAAAGTCACTTCTGACAAATTCTGGAATCCATCTGCAAGGTTTATTATTGTCGTGCAAAATATGCAGAAGTACAGTTCACATAATGTCACTGATCTACTTCACACGTATAATATATTTCGTAGAGTTTCAGTAATATTTCGAGATGGCGATGAATATGCTATTTACAAATATAACCTTACGAAGCCTGGTTATTGTCTGAAAGCTGGACACCTAAAATTTTGGTCATGGTGTTCCGATTACTGCTCTGGAAAAATTATACCTCCAATAAATAAGGGAACTATTCGAGGCTGTCGTTATAAATTTATAGCACAGAATAT